TAGTTTATATTAGAATTTTATTCAGAATACTTAAAAATAATACATAAAACCTCTTTTAAAAGAGACATTAGAAATTACAAAGGTTGCACCCTGAAAAGTTATTATATAAAATCTCTGAACAAGATACATAATTACGAGATCAAATGGAAAATAAAAAGACATATGCATATAGAATAAAAGTCATACCACAAATTAGTAGATGGGTACTTACGCAGACAAAGTGGTTTTGCCAACATACTTGTGCTTCACGTATTGCTAGTGTATGCACAGTGAGAGTAAAATAAACCAACTGGAGTCTCAAGCTTTACAGAAATGATAACAATAACTACATGTACCCAAATGTCCACATGGTCCACCATTAAAACAAAAACAATAGCAACACACACACACATACACACACATACACACACACACACACACACACACACACACACAGAGTGAAAATAACAAAAACAAGGAAAAGGACAAAAGTGACTTGGTGACAGCTCCCAGTATTAATTCACAGCTACAAACCTACAGACTGGCCTTGACTTCAATTATTTAGAACATGTTCAAACTTATTCTTAAGGTATAGTGCTTTTGAAAGCTCTTGTACTCAAGACTCAGCTCAAAAAAGCTAAATGCTCTTAGAGCAACAGCTAGAGGCAATTTTGCCAACAAGTACAGTGCAACCCTTTTTTTTTTAATGGATGATCCTGAATGAGAACTATAAAACTATTACATACCCATCATCCAGTAAATAAGATTATACATGATTAAAAAGTATGCCTTTTCTTCCTTTGTTTAAAAACAATAGTTAAACACTGCCCTCTGGTGGCGGGGCTTTAGTTTGCAAAACAACCAAAAATCCTCAGTCTTATTAATGTTTAACCAGAAGTTGATGTCCGAGCTTTAGTCAGTCTAAAATAATTCGGTACTAAACACGAGTTGCAGAAGCTTGTGACAATATTTGTGCAGATGAGCTGAGTATAGAGTTCCTTCTAGAGATCATTTTTCTCCGGTCAGCTTTGCTCAAACAGCTTGGCATTGCTACCTTTCCCTAAAACTGTCCTCTATCACAAAGACACAGAGACAAGATTGTACCACCAATCTTCACCAATCAGTTTAGGGGGCATCCCATTATTATTTTACACACTCATACACAAAACGAGACAAACGGACAGTTCATAGTATTACTGAAAGACATCCATTAACACAAGACTGCTACAAAACGAGCGAGAGAAAAAAACGCTTTATATCCTGAGTTGTAGTGGTTTAAAAAAAATGTGACGTTTCCCACAGCTACATGTGCAAATCCCTGTGGAACAAGTAAACAGTAGATTGGTAGATGCAAAAATTTTACAGGAGCATCACCAAGGTTCAGTCTGATGCCACTTTCTGGCATTTCAACTACAAAAAAAAATGCCTTTAAGATCAGGTCTCCCCTGAGCTAGGTAGTACTCACCCTAAAGAATGAGTCCTCTTAAGTCAGCTGAAGTCCTTTTCTTGTAAGAAATCCATGCAAAAGGTAAAGAGGAAGAAAAATCATCACAAATAAACAGTTAGATTTTGAGAGGCAGCTTGAAGCTGTGCACCAGCTCTTTCAGTGGAGTGGAGAATGTGGAACAATGAGTTCACCTTGATTTCAAGGCAGGTCTTCTGTGTCCAAAAAATGTCATGGATTCAGGGGGCCCAGTTAGCCTGAATATGTTGTTCATTATATGTTGGTTTGAAGAAAGATCCACGAATGAGACTGATGAAAATTTCATCATGAATGAACTGCCAAAAATGCTTCAAAATTGCTTGGAATAAAATCTCTTTGCATTAACTTACACTGAAAGTAAGCCTTCTCCTGTAAAATGTACCATTTTGTAGATACTTGTTTTCCTTTGGACAGCAACTATATATACATGTTTTTTATTAAATACAAATTCCAAAAAGAGTCAGAGATATTATATATATATATATATATATTTCTGATGTGTATGCGAAGTGTTTGCCAGTGTTTGCGTGTGAGTGAGTGAGTGAGTGAGTGAGTGTGAGAGAGAGAGAGAGAGAGAGAGAGAGAGAGAGAGAGAGAGAGAGAGAGAGAGAGTGTGTGTGTAAATGTGTGAGTCAGTCAAGTCACTGGTGTCCAACTGTGAACACTTATTCGTATTGGTCTGCTGGATGAGGTCCATTCTGGTGGTTATTTTGTATATGCAGAAAGCAATGGATTTTAGATCAGTGCTGTAGTGTCCAAGACATTTCTGTTGGGGTCCAGTGTGGCAAAGAAACGCACATCTCTGTCTTTGTCCATCCTCAGCTCAGATAATGCCTCCTCCAGCTCATCAGAGTAAGCACTGCCTGGCTCATTAAAGTAAGCTGAAAACAGAAAAAAGCGTGCTTTTTATTATTGTTCCAAATGAAACAAGGCTAGCAGTTCATGATGATCATACATACAAAAATGCTTACCTCTGAATAATACCAGTAGATCATTAGTACAGAAATGTAGTGGGAAGTGGTAATAGACGCTACATCAGAGTGAGGACATAAATACAACCATTTTGAGTAACTTTGAGGTCAAGTAATTATGATTATTTGAAAACTGAAAATTAATAGTTTGAGGTTCATGGCAAATTATTCACAAGTTTTATTTAAAGTTGACAAAGTATTTCCCGCTTAGCCACTGTATACCACTTTGTTCCAAGCAAGTCTTTTTTGTTGTAGCATTGTTTTGACCATCTCACACATTGTTTTGCTTGTCAGTCAAATAGTCTCTTCCTGTTAATGTGGTCCTTGGCCATGTTGAGTGACTCTACTAGACTCTCTGGCATTAGACAGAAGTCTGGCTTGCAAGAATCAGGGGACACACATGGACACACAGGATTTTTTCTATTTAGTCTCAGGCAGTGGCAAATCAATTTGCAAACAAGGATTTTACTAGACAAATAGATGGATACATAAGGAGCATTCAGTCAGAGTTGATTACACAAGCCCATCCACACGACATGACTGCCTAAAATCTTGGTATTAGGATTTGATATTCACAGATATTCAGAGCTCACATGGTTAATTAGTTTTCAATATGAGCAGGCAGAACTGAGCAGAGCCTTTTTTTGTTAGCGGAGGTGAGATCCAAATGTTTATTTTAATATAAAACAGTAGTTGGACATACTAGAACAAAGTGCAAGCTGTCCAACTTTGTACATAATCTAATAAATGCTTTTTAGCATCCATGAGAATTAAGCCATCCCTCTTAGCAAAATGCACAGCTAGTTGAGTTCTCATGGGCTACTAGCCACAGCAATCAAACTCCCTGCCCAGTGACGTGACATACTATTCTTAAGCTGGCAGTATACTTCAAATTACGAAAGAACTAAACAAAATGTACTACTGCTGAACATACTGTCGTAAGTATACTTAAAAAGAACTCTGTGTAGGTTTGAAATCCACTCTGTGCATTGGACAAATCACAGTCAGGGGGAGGTCTCAGAGTGCATGATGCGTGGATTATTACCAACTGCCGTCAGGGGGAAGTATTAGAACAAACAAAGCAGTGATTTGAAGTTCTGTTCAGCAAGCAGTGTTTTTGGCCAAAAAGAAGTAATATTGCTTTGAAATGTCATTTTCATTCCATTTTCATTCAGCCACCAACTTTAACCACTTGATCACTGAGATGTAAACAGACTCAGAGTGGTTTGAAGTGAAATGGTTCACTGTAGAAAAACACAGAGTAAGATTTCTTTAACCAGGGTTCTACAATACAAAAATAGCCATTTTATTTACTATTCAAAAAGAAAAGCAAACCTACATGTGCATTCTGAGTTTTTTAATGTAATACTGATGATGGTAAAATAGGTAATATTGACCGTGGTAAAATAATGGAAAAATGTGTTTTCTTTGGGGACTATTTGACCTCACAACGTCCCGCGTGTACCTCTTTGCCATTAATGGATTTAAAAAAATATATGTTTTAGTCCAAAAGCCTCTTAAAACTATTATGAAAAATGTCTCAGGCATCAGCATATTCATGACCATTTTATGACACACAACTTGCTGTGTGGGAGCTTTTAGAGGCATTAAACGCTTCAGACGTCTAGTTCCCATCACCACCACTTGAACAATTCTCAGGAGGTTTTCTTCAAACCTCTCAAAGTGACTTTGTTTACCATGACTTGGTAACCATTAAATAGTACAGAAATTTTGTGTGTGAGAATGCATCTATGGTCTTACGTTTTTCCAGCACACTTTGGCGTAGTGCCTTAGCAACCAGCACGCGTACATTGGGGACAGGATCAGATGAAAGACTGAGCAGACAGGGAAGTAGGTGTTGAGCAAACTGATCCATGGGCATACAGTCCTCCTCCACAATTGCCTGTACACAGAGAGAAGAATGCTCATTTATGTGTGCTATTCATGACCTCCACACAACATCATATTTTTGCACATGTAAGACGGTGCTGTGTCTGTGCAGCTACAGTACTGTGTTTACACAGCAAGTTCTCTAGCACCATCATTTCGTCTTTCGGGCTGGTCAGACACTAGAGGGCGCTTCTGGGAGAGTCCAAAATAAATTAATTCTTATGCAAAACTAATAAGTAAAAGGTTAAATCATCCTTTTTATTCCTTTTTATACAGGCAAATGCACTTGTTTTCTCATCACACAAGAACATAAAATACACTGCTGCAATTTTGAGCATTTTTGAACTTAAGATATAGAACTTTATAACATTATGTCACTCTACTAATCAGCTCACCATCCAGTTGGCTCTCAGTAGCAGCAACGGAACACACCCCTCTACTTTACAAAATTAAAGGAGGTTCCCACATAAACAGCCAGAAATGTTTAATTTTTTATTTTTCTAAGCTGTTTTGTTTAGTCATTAGTCATTTTTCTCATATAGCGGCAGAAATAGGAAGTGGCCAGTCTCCCTTAAAGTGTCTCTGGTAGCGAAAAGTGTCTCTGGTAGAAAAACAGACATACATTTAACAATGAAATACATACATCACACATATAATTACATTTGGCTTAACTCACCTGACATATGAAGGCAAATGCCTGTCGTCCGACCCATTTAGAACAGTGGCAGAATCTCACTACAAGCTCATTAATAAAGTTCAGACTGAGGTCTTGAGCCCCACAGGAGTACAGCTTCTGCAAAATCTCCACCACCTAAACAAACACACACACACACACACCAGCCTAATACAAATACCTGCCTCACATTACTGTCTGACAGACTTCATGTACAATCTAAAACCTTTAAAGCATGATTAATCAAAGAGAGAACCCTATGATTATCCCATACCAAATCTATTAGGGCCTGTAAGTTTCAAATAGTTTAATTTTACATTTTAAAAGTTGGCCCAACCAGGTTCCAAAACACATTGTTAATATGGAGTTTACCTGCTTACAAGGTGACTGCCATGAGCTAAAATATAAATACAATGCAAGAATTTCACTTTAAATAAATTGATTACGTAGTCAATACCCAAAAGAAGTTAATTTATTGGAAGATGTATGTTTAATCTTTAGTTATTTTTTGCAAAATTTTGATTTTATCTACAATTCCTACATTTCTATCAAAAATAAAAATTATTAATTTTTGCATGCAATATTTGAAGCTACACTATGAAATCAAATGGACTGTCAATTAAAAGTGCTTTCTGACCCTTTATTTTCTTAACAGGGAATAGTTCAATTTCTTTCAAATTTTCCTGAATAAGGACAGTTATGTCTTTACAAATGTGCTGTCCTTACAAATACTAAATGTGCTCCTTCATAATTTAATACTTTTTTTTGAACATGAAGTGTTTACCAAGATAAAAATGAAAAAAAATAAAACACTTAACAGTAAAATATTGGACTAAATAATGCTCAAATGGAACTCTCCTAAGCCATTTAGGGAAATGGTTAGCCTGCGCTGAAACAAATTCAAAGTACTTGTAGAACAAAGAGAGATCACTCACTAATTTGTAGGAAATCCATCGTACTTCTGAGACTTTGTCAGAACAAAGGTTAAGCGCTATTTGTCTGAGGTAGTCATAAACATCGTAGTGGCTGTACAGTTCAATGATCAGGATCAACTGCCTACGAGACAAGCACACGTGCAAAATAACAAATTTAACATAAGAAAACAGGAATGGATTCCTGAAAATAATGACTAAAGAGGAATGAGTCAGCAAAAACTGAGTATGTAAATGAATGAATGACTGATTTGATGCATACTCAGCTAACTCATAGCGGAATCTCCAGTTTCGACTGTTGTCTGTCACCATGAATTCCTGCAGCTGATATAGATATTCTCTACGTTTTTCAGCATGGAGAAGCTGGCAGAGAAGCAAGGAAGATCATTTTTATTGGGTACATTTGTTATATATGGGCCTAAAATTTATATTTAGCAAATCCTAAACAAGCGCATAACACCTTATTTATTTATTTCACTTAATTTTATCATATATAGCCCACACAACAAAGTATCCATTTTTCCAAATGTTTTTCTCAAATTCACAGTAGGACTGTGTGCAGTCTTGGAAAAAGGTGTGGTGTGTTTGTTCTTCTGCATTCAATGGGTACATTTACATGTACAGAATTATTTGATGTCTGCAAATACTACACATTTTTGGCAATAATTCATCCAGCATGTTTAGACATACATATGTTTTCTGATGATGAGAAACCCCTGGACCTGAATGAGGTTGCAATAATTGGATTTCTTTCCTAATTCATGATTTGCACACCTACAGTTGCTTTGCAGCCTGACAAATCCAACAAAAAGCATGTTTTGTGTTGGTTTTTTAACAGCTGGTGCAGGTATAGTGCAAAATGAAGTTTGTAGTATTTACTGTTTTAGGGCAGTCTGACTATTGGGCTAAATGGGCTAAAAAACAGTTTTAACCTGATACATCAGATGACATTTAGATCACTACTTATCATATTATTAGTGTGCATGTAAACACAGTCAGTCAAGCAATGCAGAGACAGACAAGAAAAACGCAAGTGTACAGCTTCTTACCTTAAGGAAATCATACAGGTGCTTAAGAACTCCTATTCGCACTTCATCAAGGTCTTTGAGGAAGCCATTAAAGATGGGCACCAGGTCAGCAGCTGTCAGTTGGTCCCCCAGAATCACTGCCAGCTCATGGATAGAGAACGCCAGTGTCCGCCGCACTTTCCACTATTTAAAGTTAGGTATCTTAGAACTCAGTCAAGGTATTGGTACATATTTAACTAGGTCTACACTACTTGTAGATATATAGTAGCTAAACTGACCCCACATAAATAAATCTACGGGTTTGGCAGAACACTAGACTGCCAACTGCCACTGGTTTGGCTAGGACTAGTCTGCCACTAGTTTGCAGCTAGTTGGCTAGGTGGTTCCAAATTTCTTCCATGTAAATGTGGAGTACATACTATCCAAAAGGCAAATGTATTATACATCACAGAGAGAGTCAGGTAGGATCAGATTACTCTGAGGTATTTTATACCAAAAATATAAGATTGCATAACGCTCACTTGTACATCACTTGCGAGTGTTTCATAGGTGTCCTTGAGGCAATGCCAGTTCTGTCTGCCCAGCGTTAGGGCCACACCTGGCAGGCTAAATGCACAATGCTTGGCTATTTCAGTGTCCACTGTCTGAGCTCGGGCTGGATCAGTCATGGACAAATACTGATCCAACAACTGCTGAGGAATCACATTCTGAAACATTGAAGGTAGAAAGAAAGAAAGGGGGAAATGAGAGACATGAGGGATGTGTAAGACACTAATAACTGTGTCTTTAATGGATGTCTTAAGAGAAAAAGCAAATAGAGAGCAAATAGAGACAATACAATATTAGCAACTCAATAGAGCTTAGCAACTGTAACTAGGCCCAGGCAATGCTTAACAAGCTTTCCTAACTTTACAATATGCTACAACATCAATGGGATAGTTGGATACACAAGTGTGTGGAAGTGAGAGTGACATGTTGTCCATTTCCTAAACCCAAGAATCACAAGGACAGGTGTAGGATCAAGAATAAAACAGTACAGTTAGCTAACTAACAAGTCTGACTAGCTAATCTTTCAGCAACTGCATACTGGTCAGTTTAAGCACATTTGAAGGCCTTACTTGACACCTTACTAAATTCTACCTATTCTTTATTTTCATCAAGAAAACAAATAAGAAAACCTGTGGACATTGTGCACTTTTTAAAATTAATTTTAAAAAGTACATACTCAGGCATCCCCCAGTAGCTTGGGAGCACTTAGTGACTGCTTATGCTGCTTTAGCCAGAAACAGCTTTAGTCATATGTAGCTAAAGCAAATAATGAAATTAATATGAAGCAAGAGGTAGTAAAACCTGCATGCATTTTAACAGGCAGTATCACCATAGCGTTTCATGAATAAACTAATTACTACTGAATTACAATGTTGCCAGCTAGCTTAGTTAACACTAAGTATTATTAACAAGACCAAAATGAGTATGAACACTAAATGTTAAGCTTAATCATGCATCCTATCCTGCACTACAGAAACAATACAGCTCTTGTTTTCATGTTCTCTTTATGGATAGCTATTTGATGAGGTTTCTTGCATTTTGACTGTGATATTAAGCTACTGAAATCATAAATTTCAGAAAGCTTGCCAGATGAAGCAACAATAACCAAGGGTCCTAGTTGTCAATTCAGTTGTCAATTTCCTGTGTTATAAATAACTGTGGATATGTTATTAGACTTATAATTCACCTGGACTTTAGACTTCTCCTCCTCATAAATTTCATATTTGTTGGTATCCTTCACTTCCACAATGTTCTCTGTCAGCCCAGCCTCCTGTGCACATACACAAAAGAAATTTCAGCTGAGCTTTATAAAAGCCAATGCTCATTCTTTGACTTAAACCTGCAAAAGTGACAAAACTAACTGAACTGTGCAGAGAAACAGTGTAACATAATCGTTAATGTTTTGCAACCACAGAAAGAGGCTCTATTTTGTGTAAAACAGTACTGCAAGTCTTCCCCTTACCACACAACTTGGCTCAGACACATCAAGTACTGGTGAGGTGGACTGAGAGTTTAAGAGGTGTGTATCCATCTCTGCCTGCTTGTCTGTTGAAATGGGATTCTCCGTGTTCCCACTTTCTGACACAGAGACGTCTTGATCTGTATCATCTGTGTGACTCTCTAACTGAGCAGCCTTCAGTGCAGCTGACAAGACCTGCACTTGAGCTGAGAAACAAAAATGATAAAACTTTATATACTACTATATATTAACTAAATATTAACAAAAACACCAACAAGCTATATGCTAAGAAGTAAAAAAAAATGATGATTCTTAAGTCAATCCATTAACAGTAATACAGTAATAGATATTTACTGGCACCCTAACAATAAACTAAATTATCTTAAGGAAGAAAACACCTGGACCTGACAGCATTTGAAGAGTAAAATTCAACAAATAAAAAAAATAAATAAATAAAAATAATATCCATTCCAAGTTTTTCCTAGATTCACAGTAGGAGTAGAGTTTCATCCAGCATGTTTAGATGTACATAAGTCTGATAATGAGAAACTTCTGGGTCTAAATGATTTGGAAACCTACAGTTGCTTTGTAACTCGCCAAATCCATGAAAAGGTAAATATAAAATAATAATAAACATTTTGTATGAGTTAATAGCAAAGCACTGACAATACTGAACTAAATTTATTCCACCCTTATGACTGTTCCAGTAATGAAGCTTTATGCAGAGGAGAAGAATGGTTAATTCTGCCTTTGAGGTTGTCCACTGCATCTAACCATGTCAGCAGAGGCTAAAGAAGCATTGTGAAGATGCAGCTCTGGCAGTAATTACTGAAGCTCCCTTTTGACACATATGAGGCACTACTTTAACCATAGCAAGGCCCTTTGCATCTAAAGCTCTGAGGGTTCAGGTCCAGAAAGTAAAAATCCTTCTAAGACTTTGTTTCAACTGCCTAGCTGCTCTAGTTAGCTCAAACCAGCAGTAAAAGATATCCAGGTAGTTAAAACAAAAACCTGGGCAGGATTTTTACTCTCTGCACCAGAACTGCCCAACTCTGCACCAGAACATGCTGTTCAGTTAAAGACTCACCAGACCCATCTGAATACTTAAGCCTGAAATATATGCTACATGTCTGTGGGGAGCTAGGCTAAAGCAACAATACTGTCCTTAAGGGCTGGTTTGAGAACTGTTGCTTTGAAGAACCTTTTGATAAAACACTTCTTTATAGTACAAAAAATGTTCATGGGCCTTGGTTTGGTACTAAATAGCACCCTTTTTGGGTGCTACATACACAAACACACAACCTTAACTTAGGATCTGATCATAAGAGACCATTTCAATATTTAAGTCACCTTGTACATCAGGGTCATCAAGATGGGGCTGGAGGCATTTTAGAACTTTCTGAATCTGGGAGCTTGTGGCTGGGCCCTCAGAGTCTAAATCTGGAACAGTTTCTTCCTCCTTCACCATTTCCTGCCTTTGCTCCTCATCTTTCCCCTCTCCTTGTATTAGTTCCAAATCCTGGCTGATGTCAGGCAGTAGTGGTCTCCAGTAGTGGAAGGAGTCAAAAAGATCCCCTGTCTGCTGGTCCTGGGTAGTGGTCAAGCTCTCAGGTTGACCCAGATCACCATCACTTGTCTGGGACTTGACTGAAGAGGGAACTTGGGAACTGTGGGGGTCCTCTGAAGCTTGAGATGGTTTATTGACTGTGTCAGAGAATTGGTTTGACTTGCCTGGAAAGGCAGGACTACCAGGAAAGCGCTCAGATGAAACATCACTGCAGCTACCTTTCTGTTCTTTTCTGTGGAGACAAATTAAATCAGAATCTGAATTTTATTTGTCATACTTATTATTCAAAATACTACAAAGCAACACTATGTAAGATTTGGGGACTTGGAGACCTCTCTGATGGACATATGTAATTGCACGTAACATGTGGGAGAAAGTTTTGTAATGTCATTTGTGCTTCTGACTCCTTCCCCAAGCAGATAAATCTGACAACAGCAAGCGCATTGAAACAGTATTCAAATAAACCTCAAAAACTTGGTGAAAGACATGTCTTGATGAAGGACGTCTTCCGAGGGTGTGAATAAATTATCTACTAGTGTCATCATATTTTCAGCAGAATAACACTGATTTTGCATTTCAGACCTAAACATCAAGCTAGAGTGTGAGACATTATGTAAAGATGCATGATGTGGTCTAAAAAGTCCCCATGAAATCAGACCAGATGCCTCTAATAAATAATTATTTCAGGCTTTACAGGGTGACTCACAGAAGTGCAGGCACATCATATTTAACCCTTTTTCCCCCTCCTGACTCAGTAATGCTACTTCTTTCAGTTTTTAGAACAGAAAATACATATTGCAGCTTTAAATGGAACAATATTACTAATACTATTAAAAAAAGACCCAACATCTGTCATGTTACTCAATTTAGATTTTCACACACCAAAACCTCTACTAAATTCCCCAAATTTCTACTAAATAAAGTCATTTAAGGTATTCTTATTTTACAGACTTTGCAGTTAAAGAAAAACAAGCACAAAGAATTTCACAATCATAAAAAATAGGGATGCATCCATAGCATGGATTTTTTTTTCCAAATGGAGTACGAGTACATATTTTTTAGTACTTGCTGATACCAAATCCACCGAATCTGATACAACACTGAATAACGTACCTAGAATTAGGTATTTGTTAGTGTAAATAAGTGCAATGTACCATAACAGTTAAATCATCAAAACTAAGCTGATTTTAAATGAAGTGCTTTAGCTAGCTACGTTACATAAGTTACCTTGGACATAGCAGCACTGCAGCTGAGAAGAGTGGGCTTTGTAAGAAAAGCACTTCTCAGACACTCATGTATGGACAAAGCCTACACTCTCAGAATGACTGGTATGCTACATGAAACACAGCCCATACAAACTATGTCGATGGATAATTTCAAATAGAGCTCTCTTATTCAAAATAACACACACCAAATACTGAACAAACACGCTGAGAAACTGAGCAGCGCTGCTAATATTGTGCACTGAAGCTAAAACCAGGCAGTGATGTACATGGTAGGACAAATACGGTTTCCCTACAGCCTATGTGGCCTACACATCTCCACCTGTTTTAGGGAAGCGGTTGTGGTTATGTTTGTGAGTGTTCAAAAACAGGCTAAAAATCACACAGTGTTTTCCTGGTGAGTATCTGCCAAGTCTGAAAATTTAAAGTGACTTTACCAGTGACTTTGTTTACAACTGTCGGTTACCACTTTGCTATGTGAGAAGACCAATGTTTACTGCGTTTGTTCATTAGTGCAGCACTCAGTACACTTTTGTCACATGATATCAGCTGGTTGGTATCGGTGAACTGTTATGAGTAAGGACAGATATCTGACACCAGTACTAGTATTGATGCATCCCTGATAAAAAGTGGGACCAAATCAACTAATCATAGTTTTGATAAAACGTCTGCAATAACCTATTGACCAATGCTGTTCTTAATTGTAAAGACGCTGAAAAAATGTTTTTTTGTCTAATTATTGATGTTTGGGCTCCAAAGACATGGTAGTTTACGTCAACAGCCTTTAACTAGTTTACCTGTCTGTGGGCTTTGGGATTTCATGCAGCGTTCCATCCTCATGGAAGTGGACACCAGTGCTGGAGGGATTAGCAAACGTGGAGATAAAACGACCAAGCGACTGAAATGCAGCCTGGCGGACCTAAACAGAGAAAAGGAATTATAAACAGTTAATTATGTCTTGTGTGTTATTACTGTTGTCAGAGTGAACAAATGTGTACTCTAATATCAGTATGCACTTTCAAATGTGTATCGATTTCTTTGCATTTACCCAACGGGATTGATCGCTGATGAGGTTGATAAACAGGGGAGACAGTTTAGTGCGCCGCACCTCTGGAGATGTACAGTTTGAAACTACCATGAAGCACTCAGCACAGGCCTTACGAATGCCCCACAAGCTGTCTGAACACAGGTCAAAAAACTTCGGCATCTGAGACCAGAACCAAAAACATGGAGAAAACACTGGATGAGGATAAGCTCTGAAATGTGCATGATTAATTCTTAAGGCAGTTTTATTCAAAATATACTGGTCCCTGGTGTCTCAAACAATCATAAACCATAATTTTGTTAATGTTTTATATGGACAGGTCTCAAACTGCCAGCCAGAATCCAACAACAGTTTTGTTCTTACCAGCTGTTTCTCTGTGGCTTCTTGGCCAACAATGGAACAGAACTCACCAAAATTTGCTGCACAAACCTAGTAAGGATAAGAAGAAAGAAAATAAGAAAATGTTCAGACATGTAAGCGAGGACCACAAAATTGCCAAGGTTTTAATTTAATCTCCTACTCTGCAATATCTTCTTGGCCAACCCTGCATAAGAGGAAATGAAGATTCTTCATTGAGAAAAACAGCCTTTGTAAGAGAGCTTATATTTCAGCAAAAGAAAAAAAGAACTCGGCTGGTGATAGAGGCCAATTAGTGATGTAACACTATGTTAAGTAATACTATACCAAATCTACAAATGTATATTTTGCAGTATGTAGGATCATGACCATAGCCAAAAATTCATTGACTGAGTGGGGGACTTTTTGGACTGCACTGCTGATAAGTAAAAATGTGATTAGTTTGTTTAAATAAACAAATGTAATCCCTTTCGATAACAGTAAAATCTGCAGGCAATTTGTTTGGGTTAAGATGAGCATGCACATCTCACAAATCTAAAATCAATAGCAGAATGACGTATGCGAACTATTAAAACTGCCTCCTAACTGGCCAACAAACAGTCATAGGTGAACACAAACAGGTCAGAGAGTAAGACAATGGTTTAGAATGCTCTAAGACCAGATGTTAATGGAAAAGTAAATATCACAGCAGATAACAACAATAATTATTATGAACAATTAATGTTAAAAGGTTGTAAATTATTAACATATCATTACCTTGCGGACTTGAAAAAGCCTGGCATCGCTGCATAGCTCACAGAAACGTAATAACAGCAGAAGCTCTACTGTGTCTTTATTCAGCATTGTTACCAGCTTACACATGATCTGTTATTGAAAACAATAACAATCAGGTTATGCATTACCTAAAACCTAACATCCTAACTAAATACATAAAAAGTTATTTCAACTTACAGATGGAGTAATGTCAAAAGTAATGCCTGAAATGTCATTTACAAAACCTGATAAATTCCCAAATCTGGTTTTAGTCTGTTTTCTCAATTCATTGTATTTTTTTTTTTTGGTTTAATAAATCCCTCCTAAAGTTTTGAGGATGAATATGGAAATTGCTATTTGGCACCTAAAACTGGTAAACTACTAAACCGATATTAGGACCTAGCCACCTTACAAAAGAAGCCCATTCAGGTTACATATGACTAATAAAAATACGATAATGATAACTATAAGGGCAAACAACCTACAGTAACTGAAAAGCAAAGTAACATTACTGCAGCCTGAAAATAAGCAAAGTTATCACTTTCACATGCCTTTTAAAGTAATCTGTATTTGTGCTAATGCATCACCATAACTTCATTATAGCATTTAGACTCTTACCTTGAGTAAAAAAGTAGAAGTACCATATAAGCTATTCATGTCAAGAAAATATTCACAATTATTTTCTCTGTAAAAATTGTGCTTACCGCAACAGCCTCGATCTTATAGTCGTCGTCGCTGCTTGGTTCAGTGAGCTCCAAAAGCACAGGGCAGATTTTTCCCTCCATGTCAGCTTTGCATATGAGGCCCTGTTCTAGCAACACCAACAGAGCTGCCTGGCTTGTCTTGCGTACCTAGAAGAATATCCAAAACCTTTAAAAAAAAACCTTAAAAAAAAAAAAGTCTTAATCAGACTTACTGACATTTTTGGCATATAAAAAGACAGTCTTGGGTATATAAAAAGCAGTCTTCACCTATAAATAATAATCATTCATATGAATTTATTCATCAGGAGGTTTACAACTGAATCATAAAAAACACAATTCTAGTAAATACTTACCTGATTATTAGGGTCTGTGAGATAACGTACAACAATGGGCACCAAGTACCTTGAGAAAGCTGCTGGGAAATTAGGCCGATTTTCATGAAGGAACATGGCAATGTTTGGTACCTGTTCCATTAGCTCGGCTCGTACTGTGGGCTCTGAAACATGTGCACACATACAGACCATTTGGGGCAGTGTTAACGAAATAAACATTTAGGACCTGGATAATTATGCAGCTTTACAGGTACTTTCTGTGTTTACATTAAAAAGCTTCTGGAGTGGGTGGTTACAGACAAGAAATATTTATTCGAAACAGTCATTCCCATCTGACGAACGAAGCAGCTAAAAAGGTGTGATGGATAAAGATTTTGCATGGTGTGCCCAACCAATCAGAAGAGATGTAATTAATTACACGAGGAAATGACACTGCACCCACACATATCAGGCCCAACAGAACAAATTGTTTTAGGAGTGAAACACACTGGTGGCTAGGGCTGAACGATTTGGGGAAAATACTGAATTGCTATTTTTCTGATCAATGTTGTGGCTGCAATTTAAAAGGCAAATACTTTAAACACATTTTGGCTAAGAAGACTATCTGTCTGCTTGTTTTGGCTCGAGGCTTGAACGCTTAAGGCTTGACGCAGTGCGGCAGACAGCCAGTTAGTTGTGGCTGTATTGTCACTGCAACAGCACATGGGTGATTGGTTGCTTCTCACTGGTCTAACTCCTATATGTCAAACACAAGGTCAGATCAGGCCTGCGACGCAACCCTCTCTGGCCCGTGAAATTATTTTAATTTTCTATATTAACCAGTTTCAAAATGCCCTGCACTACAGTCCCCAGTATGCACTGCAACGTAATGTGCACTCCCACCACTCTACCCCAACAACAATCTATGGGACAGCAATTACACCCCAATTCTACCATACCAGTCATATCACGGAACACACTAGCAGTGTTTCAGCTGCAGTTCAAGAATGAATAAACTTGCAGCAAAGAAAAGGTGCCAGGTGTCAAATCAAGCAAATAGGTAGGTTTAAAGTCTTTGCCTCCTGGGGACTTTTTTTTATATATTTCAAGTTTTCATGTAATATTTCAACATCTACTGCAAGTGCTGTTGACGTTTTGCCATATTTTGAATAAACAATGGTCACTTCAGGTTATAGCAAAATGTCATTTAAAAATGAAATAAAAACATAGGCACTCTCTGGCCCATGGATTTGTTGAGATTGAGTTTGACACCCCTGGTCTAACTTATCTACAGGCTGATCACTAGCTATGTGTTATTAGTTTAAATTTCCCCATTTAAAACTTCAGACAATGCTTTTAATAATGTAGACCATAATTTAAAGTATAGCTTTTCAAAAATGCTTCTCTTAAATTGCAATTTTAATGTAAAAACAGCCTTTCAGCTCTACTAGTGGCTTTCTTTGTAGGGCTGGGTACCAACGTTTGGATCCCTAAAAGACACTGTAATTTGAGTAAACCTCTTAATTTGAGCCCACTGTGACATCTGAATCAACCTTCATTTTATAATTTTAATAACATTTCTACATAAGATTTCAACATAAAAGGATAAATAGGCGAACTAAAAACAGTTAAGTAAAAGGATTATAAAAGGTAATAAAAATAAATAAATAAAAACTGTAATAAAACATAAAAAATGAAATAAAAACTGGTAAGAAAAAATTAAATAAAAAATAATAAAATAACAATAAAATTGAAAAAAAAGAGAAAGGAAAAGTTAAACTCATCTAAAACGGTTACAGGCTGTCTGAAGGTGGTTAGAGACGTTTAAAATGATTGAGTGACACCAGTGCGCCGAGTTTTAGAGGCTCTTGTAGTAAATTCCAGCTCACTGGTGCACTGTAGCTGAAAGCATAATCTTCTAGTTCAGTAAAAACTCTAGATACCTGACAGGTGATCACAGATGACCCGAGTGATTTATAAATAAAAATAAGCCAGTGTGTTTACTCTTTTGCTGCTTGTGAGAACTTTATCAAATAACACTTACCAGTGCAGACTGTAAGGTCTCTAGTAATAAATGTCAGAGCGGAGTGATGGACCTAGTGTCTAGTGGTTTGAGGGTACTGGCAGACGAATGTCTATAAGCTACATCACCGTAGTCCAGTACTGATAGTAACGTTGCCTCCACGACTAACGAGGCACACAAGATTTATTTTGATACAGGAATCCGAGCCTCTGTCTGGACTTTCTGACTAGTTAATTAATAAGAGATTTGAATGCAAGCTTCTCATCCAGCCAAATGCCAAGGTACTTATATTCTGTGACTCGCTGAATGCTGGATCCTGTCAGGGTAGTAATATTCACAGTATTAAAGTCAATATTTGAAGATCTGAAGAACAGCATGAACATTGTTTTTTTTGGCATCTAAAAATAATTTGTGCTTGTACAGAGCATTCTGTTCAGTGTTAAATGAGCACTAGAGTTTTTCTATTGCTGCATGAGCAGATTTGGCAGAACAGTAGAAAATCGTGTCATCTGTGTACAAATGCACTTTGCAGTCTGAGGCGGAGGCAGCTTTAAATAAAACTAGGATCAAGCCTTTTGGGACTGGGACTCCTTTGGTTATGGGAGCTAAATCTGATTCATGGTTACCGAGTGCCACACACTGTTTACTGTCTGAGAGGTTATTTTGGGCCCGATGGATTGCATTATTGTTAAAGCCAATCTTTTGTAAATTTCCTAAAAAAAGACTGTGGTCATCAGTGTCGAAAGCTTTTGTTAAGTCAATAAAAATGACAGCACAGTGCTTCTTCCTGTCTAAAGCCTTATAGAGCTCATTTAAAACCAGTCTGAACAGAAATAGCGCTGTGTTTTTCTCCAGCCAGAGTGAAAGTTAAACAGGACATCTCTTTCCTAACATCCTAACCAGCTTTAGCAGCGTTAAATCACTATCCTCACAACTAAAGCGCTGTTACAGCGCTCGGACGGTCATATTAAAGTATTAGTGCAATCCCAAGAAACGAAAGTGAAAGAAAGAAGTGAGTTCATGTTCGTTACAGCCCTGATTTAAACGAAAGTAAACTGAGGAAGCTGTGAGGCATTGGAGAGCGGGAGAGCGCTATCTTTCCAGGCTAGCTGTTTTTAGCAGCTGGCTAACTTGAAGCAGCACTCCGTCACTCCACAACACGGAGAATTGATGATACTGTAGATCAAACACGACACAAAAGCACCGCTTTCAGTTTAAACGTACCTAAAAAGAGGACTCTGTTTGTCTGGTGTTGATATTTTGTGGTTCACCACTTAAACTACTACGATAGTATAGAGAAATCCAGTCCTCGCTAGCTGGTGTCTGAATACTGTGATGTCATTTGTAACGGGGTAGCTGAGCGCTCGTCACCAGCTAAAATTATGTTTTCTTTCTTAAATTATGACTATTACAAAATAGCCATGCTTTTCCAGCTGGTAAAAACAGCTCACCAGACGCTTTCTCCCACTCTCCCATGACAGATTTGTGAAATGTTCCACTGTTTGGTGAGTGTTTGTCGTGTTCCGATCATAAAGGATAGTTTAAAACCGCAATCAACCACCCAGGAGCAAAAATCAGCCTTCAAACTTGAAAGAAATAATGATTTGACATTTATCGCGGTATGTATGGATATCTAACAATATGAATTTTGTTTATCTTGATAACATTTTTGGCCATATCGCCCAGCTCTAGTGGAGGGCCTGTTTGTTTACCACTGTGAGGAATGATTTACTAAAATGATTTAGTGCTAAATCAACATCTGGAATTTTGAATGTAAAATCAATTTCACACATTGCTAGGTCAGAAAGAAAAGCCTGCTTGTAATTTTTTTTTTTAATTTCTTCAAACCACCATCCAAGAACCTGTTTTTATTTTCCTGGAAGTGTTTCTAATGCATCTGTTTGGGCAACGGTCACTGGAACCAAGATCAGAAACTTCTGAGGCAGTAATTTCGTTCATTCTGTTGGACAAAATTAACTCAATTAGGGTATACTTGGTAGAGTCCTTTAGGTTTGGGCAAGTTGCGTCGACCAGTTAAGATTAAAATCCCCTAGGACCAACATTTCTGAAGCAGTATAGTGTGACAGAAGCTCAGCTATTTAATACAAATCAGTCTTATTTCCCTAGGAACACCTTCAATGCTAGAATCTCAAAACCTTTTTTTTTTTAAACACTGCAATCAGTAATTGAGCTTAGATATTCACTCTTACAAAAATAGCTTCTTCGTCTCCTCCAGTATGTTTGGCTTTAGCCAGCACTAAAACTAGCTTGTAGAATTTGCATGTGTAAAAAAATGAAAATAAACGACCTGTATAAAGGAAAATTAAATTCTCCTTGCTAAATAAAAGAATTTAATGTAATATATAAACTATGTTAATGTTTCAAAACGTACAACTCATTCCCCAGTGTGTACAATCAACGTATGGAAAATAAGCTGTCAAAACAGCCCATTCATTTACATATAGCCGTCTATTTGGCTTACAGCAGTTTGGCTCCGCCCATTCATGTTGAAGTTATAAGGAGTGCTTCAGCCCGGCCTTTTTTTAGTTAGGTACAGTAGAGAACAGCCAATCAGAATAGAGCTGTTTTACATATATCAGCATTAAAGACAGTAACAAAAAACAGCCTTTTTAATTCTAAGGGATACCGAGAGGTGGAAAATAAATGGTCATATAAAAATTAATTATGACCTTTTGGTCACACTGGTAAATAAAACCACATATAACAAAGAATGGGTTTTTTTCTCCAGTGTTTAATTCTTACTCTCAGCTAATTTCTTGTGAGAAATACAAACGCTTAAAGGTTGATGATGTTCAATTCATGTACTATGCTAATAAAATTAAGCTGAAAAAACATGAATTAGTTATCAGTGTAGATCTGAAGTCACTGGTATCAGTACCAGTACTGAAAAATGTCAAACAATTTCCAGTCCCACCTTAAATTGTGTGCTCAAAGCTACATACTAGGAAAAATTCAACAGAACAGAAAAAGTCCAAGTGCTGAAGTAACACCACCTTAATAGTGAATTTAACACTGGAAGAGTTAATTTGACACTGGGATGTGTTTTGTGCTGAGTGATGGGATCTCAAGAGCTGCTAGAAGCAGACTGCCAAATACTAAAGGTCATTAACCTACCAGCAACTGCACAACAGTATGCAATAGTGGCTAGCTGAGGCTACTATATTAACTAATATACTATCAGCAAAATCTGAGGATAAGAGAAGGGGAGTCATATACTTTATATAATATATATAAAGTCATTTTGTTGTAGTAAAATCAAAGAACCTAACAGGAATAAGAGTGTGGGATTTACTGCCTTTTCCTTCGCATCTAGGGCTCACAGTCAACCACTATGTGACCCTCCTAAATTCCACAGCTAAAATGAACTGAATCCAGATTTCACTGTGGAACTCATGACAGCTGAAACTGGGTCATGACAGAGACTGGGCTATGCAAGAATGAAATTACCATATAAACCAGTAGACCTATTTAAATGCATACTAATACACTCATTCCCAGGATCATCACATCTGTAATTCAACCACCACCAGTGAAAAAATAAATAAATGAATGAATGAGTAATACATGGCAGTCCTTTGTACTAATCCAATTCTATTCTCTGTTCTTTACTGTATATATTCTTAAGCCTAAAAAATTTGTCTGGTTTGTTGTGGACTGTTTTTTTCCTATTTTTGCATGCTTTATGACCGGCTCTACTGGATGTGAAACTTTTGTGTCAGTGGCATACCTTCATACATTTTGTTGATCAAGCTTAATTTAGGTAATAAAGGCACAGCTGACTGCATAGGCCCCACCCCAAGAGTGTATGTAGCCATGTTACACATGCACAAAGAGTTAACGTACATACCTGCGTCCTCAGACATCCTGACAACTGTCTCCATGACGGTGATGAAGTCATTCTCATTGTCACTGAACTCTCGTAGCACATCTAATAACCCACGTGCCACAATTTGTCTAAAAAATTAATAAAAAAAAAAAGTATGTTTTGTGCCAGTGTCCCTCATTTTGCACCATCATAAGTAGGACACAGTTTGCTGTTCAGTGCCTTTTACTGGTTAAGGGCTTACACAGCTATGCTGTGAATGTAAATACTTTGTCGTTGGTTTGTTGTTTGCCTAAAGTGGTGATTTGACCACAATACATTTATTACCATTTAAAAAATATTCTTTTATTAGTTTCAAAATGACTCCATAGCCTTGCCCCTCTGTATCTTAGCATATTTTGATTGTTAAACATATTCCTGCTAAATCACTCAGGAAACTGGTTTTGCCCTATATTGTTAATCCTGTAATAGCATTTAATAAAAATATGAATGTAATATTTCAGAACTGTTCATGAGTTTATATTAAATGAAGTAGGCTGGCATATCTAATTTGAGATTGGACATATTTCATTTGTGTGTTATCAGTGGGTGTGTGTGGAAATGACCTCACTAATACAGAGAAAAGAACTGATTGCCACACCCAACAGTAGCTTGCGCACTGTGCTGTTTTTATGTACTGATTATACACACATCCGAGCTAAGAGAGATACAGAGCTGCAGTGTGAGAAAAGCTTCCTACCAGTGTCTAGACAACTGAGCAATTAAAGGGACATTCCACCGCTCTTTAAAATTCAGTTTTTAAGATATAAACAAAGCCATTCAGAACATTCTGAAAAATGGTTAATTGTAAACAGACTTGTATAGGCCACCAAACCTGTACATGTCTCCTTTGTTTTTAAATGTAATGTTGATAGTGTTAAAATACAAGTTTTTTTTTTTACTGGGTACTACTTTGATTTACAGCGGCTTGCAAATATCCCTTCGCTCTGCACATCTTTGAAAAAGAGGTTTTGGGCCAAAAAATGATTGCAGAACTATCATAAAACAATGTCTCAGGTATTAGGCAACATATGTATAATCATTTCATGTAAAAACTTCCTCTAAGGTAGCTTTTAGAGGCATTAAACTTTTCAGATGTCTGTTTCCTACCACCACCACTGTGAATAATTCTGACTCTAAGTTTCTCTAGAAGAGTATTTTACTTAAAACTACTCTGAATGACTCTGTTTACTTTATAAACATTTAATTATGAAGAATTTTTGAAAGATTTATAGAATTCTCTTTTAAGACAGTCCTAAATGTATAGATGTCAATGTATAATGATAAATTATGTATGGTCTATTTGGAAGCATGGTAACATGATGACAGATGATATTGCCGCTTCTTGCTCTTAATCAAGTAGCAGCAGTGTGGAGCTAGCTATGCTGTTTAGATATTGTACATGAGGCTCCATACTGTTTTAAGGATTAATTTATGTTAATAGTGGTCAAGAGTGAGAAACCTAATAGTTAAATGATTAAAATCACTGTTCTCATACCCTTTTCTTCCTATCACAAAATGTATATATTGTCTGTGATATTCTCAAAAAAAAAATCTGTTTGCGGCTCTCTCCAAAGTTTAAATGGACTCTCTAAAGTTTATATTCTAGTGCATATATTACCTAGAATTTATGTTCCTTTAGCACTCTGTCAGCCTACGCTGTTTCTCAGACCTCGATTTATACACCAACACAAATAACATAATCACAAATCTATGGCCAAGTTTGTTTGTAGAAAAACAATGTCTAAATCATGCAAATTATGTCTGCAAATGTATGTATAAAATTCTTTCTTTACCAGTGTTAATGTTGGCTCCTTTAATCTATTTTTTTTCCGGGCTCCTCTAGGATTTGAATTCTTTATATGTTTCACCAAAGAACTTCTGTAATTTCACACTAGAATTTTGTTGATTCCCTGTTACCTGTACAGATTTGCATGCTGGAAACAAACACCACTGTCACTCACCTGTTAAACACGTTCTCACTGAAGGCATATTTTTCTAGTCGGCCCAGAGGAGTTAGGTTATCCTGCCCTGCGTCCAGGAACGCTGTGATCCGAATGCCGTCACATTCAGAACCATAGTCATCAAATCCAACTGCAATAAATTGCCAATGAAAATGTGCAGTTGAATAACAAGCTGTGGGACACAAGTTTGTGCATTGGGACTAGTGGTTCCTTAGCTCTAGTCCTGAGGACCCACTGCTTAATTGTCCCTGCTTTTTTCTCCAAATGACAGACAAAATTAGATTTGTTTATTTATTTACTCACTTTATAAGCCAATGTGAATTATCATAAAAATTTAGCAACCATGGGCAGCATCCAAGAGTGATTCTTTCTGACATGTGCATGCATAAACTGCCAAATTATGCAAGTAAATATAGTTTGCTATGACATTTCAATATACCAGTCACATAAATATGACCAAAAGGCTAACAGTGTTTAATGCTGCTCATAACAGTACTATCACAGCAGATAATAGTACAGGCATAGTATGGTCTGTAAGTGTCTGTGAATTAAGCTGCATCTTAACTGCCAGTGACTCTACGTTGGAACTACGTAAGAATTTTGTTTCAGGTAGAAGGAAGAAGTCCACATCGGCCATGTTAACAGTGATGTGTGTGCTCCAGACAGATTTAAGAAATCCTTAGCAATACTCACTCTAGCATGTACAACCAGGAGATTGTAACAGAAGTTTTGTTGAGTTGGATTTAGTGGATTTTTGAAACACTAGACTTACATGGACCCAGTGACTATATAAATGTATCTACAAACTATGTATCCTACAAAGTTAAATAGCCAAAATGTTTAGAAGGATTTAAAATCAATCATAAACAAGAGTCTTAAATGCCACCACTCCGAACTAACTCAAATCATATGCCTGCAGCAAAAGGAAATATAAATTCCTTGCTCTGTTTTTATAAAAAGCAAGTCATATGTAAGAAATACTCACAGTCATCTAGATCATCATGACCATCTTCAAAATACAAAGACAAACCTGTGAAGGAACAGAAAAAAAGCTTACAAAGGGAAAGGATCATAATCATGTGCATGAACCTCTTTGAATCATTTGAAGTCTGCTATCATTGTGAGCTTTTTAGTATAAAGAAAATTGCTTGATATGCCTAGTCTATTACTCCTGTGATTATTTGATTTTATTGGCTAAGAAAAATGGATCTGGGTTTCTTTAACTGCCTTTGAAGAATATAACATACTGTTTTCTTGTAGTGGAGCTGTTAACATTAATTATGGTCCACAGAAATGTACTCTTCGCACCACTCTGAAATCTTTACGTTCTAAATGCATTATTACTAGCTTTAGCCAGATTAATTCATTAAGTTTGCCTATGCATTATAACCTTTTGTGTTCATGTACAGGTACAAGTGTCCTCCAGAATCATTGGAATTCTCAGTAAAGCCATAAGAGAAAAAAGTCACAATTTAAAGATCAAGCTAAAATATTTAACATACGAAACATCTAGGTAAGATAAAAATGTTCAAAGAAAAAATACTGCTGGCAAACCTACAAAAAAAATCTAACAGAAGTAGATATTTGATATCACTTTTTCTTTTATATTTTATATTAATACTGAAACTTGATACTGAACCAAGCTATTTTAATTGTCTAACATAATATAGGCTATTATGCTCTATTATGCTCAAAAAACTCAAACACTCTACTACCCCACAGGAAGGAATACTCAGTTAACATCACATCACACGGAGTGAGGGTGTGGTATTTCAGTATTCCAGGTTAGATTTGTTACAGGACTGGAACAGATTCATTGTTTCTTTCTTCTGCAATATCCTATCCAGTTTCCTACTGATATTGACTCGATGCAGAGACCCACTGATACTGATAGGCCATCTCTAAAGGGAAGCTTCTACTCATTTATATTTTATCTTTTTAAAATTCATTTGGTTCACTAGAAGATACAGAGGCTATGGGGTGAAACACCTCATATTTCTTCGCGGACACATTAAGCATGCAACAAAGGAGAAGGTGATGCTCAGTCATAATTATGTGGAAAACAATTAATAATGTTGTTGATGAACCTTCCTGGAAAAAGCTGCATTCATATCATATTTTTAAGCAGAATGATGGATTGAACAGCAAACAAATAATAAAAAAAGGCTTAGAATATCACAGCCGGAGAACTGTTTCAATACTAAATGCATACACCTCACTAAAAAAAAAAACTTTTCCTTTTATCAAACTATAAGTAAGCACTTGCCAAATATCCTGAGAACATAAACAATGCATATTCCAGTGGGACGAAGATCTAAAGCAAACCTTCAAATTCAGATAAAAAATGGCTAACCGACCACAAAACCAATATTTTGCAAAGGCCACACAATCCCAGCCTACACACCCTCCCTACCTAAAAACGTGTGAGGAGATCTAAGGAGACGACTGAGGTGCATATGGAGTGGCGGTGCCATAGTCCAAAGGAAAAAGCATAATGTATTTCATTCAGGAGTGACAATGGTAACACATCTTAGAATACAATGATTTTCGGACTTATTTTCTTTCCTCTCAGCGATGACAATGAGGCAATCACAATAGCTGACATAGTGCTGAGCACATTTGACAAACAAACGTATTTTAAGAGAGAATTTTTGGTACAAAAACTGAGGAAGCTATTGTATCGTTTAGGAGGGCATTACATTCAGCAAACATGTAACTAACAGGTCAAAAGAACGCAGAAAGCCGTTTACTACACAGTATAATGGGTATACATTAATAAATGCCGTTCACGAGCTAACCTTTAAACTTAGTTTTTCTGATGTTGGGAGTTTTATGAACATAAACCTCAAAGTTAGGTCACACAGTATTTAGAACAAAGCCTAGACAAGACTAGCTAGCCAGCTAGAGGCTTTGTTTTAACCCTACTTAACACAGGGCACATCTAACAGCTAACGTTAGCTGCCTGTGTGCTATTATCCTTGCAGCAGCCCAGGCCAGGTTTAGCTTACGCTGAACACATGAAACATCAATAATATAGGCATCAATACAAGACTAAATGATACAAGACTGAATGTGGATAAATATGAGGAGAGGTTTAAAGCACCATTCAAAGTGAAGGTTACATAGCTCTATAATCCATCCTGAACAACGCGCTCTGCCACTGGAACATAACCTAGTTAACTAGCTACCGCGTTGGCTTTTCGACTCGCGGCTCCTGCTTAGCCGTTGAAAAGACAATAACCTTAGTCATATTCCTTAAATGCATGAGATTAATGATCTTGCTAAGACATCGTACTACATTTCAGTATTGACAAATAGCAAAAGATTTTGAAAATAACACAGTTAAGTTCAAAAGGATTGGAAATATTTCTTGTTACCTGCCATCTTGACATACACTGTTCCACAGCGGACCTGTCACTGATCTCGTAGGGTAAATCACTTCCTGAAAATACTTCCTGGTGTCATTTTCGGAGAATACTATTCAGTTTATAAGATATGACGCTAACAGACATTAAACTGAAACCAACAGACGCATTTAGAAGCAATAAAATGTACTCGAATCGATTTTTATACGGAACAAAATAAGACAACCGATATCACGTGACATTTCAGCCATAATTCAAGATGGCGCCTCTGGAGTTGTTTCTGTCGTGCCCGACGAGCTAATAACGCAGCTGGTGGCTGAGCATTGAGTTAGCTAACGCTTGTGAATTTGTTTTGCGTTTATGTATTAAAGACTTTTTGCGCGTTAAGCCATCTTTTTAAATCAGTGATTACATTTTCACATTCCCCAGGAGAAGAGTCACAGTCAAAAAGCAGTGTGTAGTCTGCTTGCCACATAGCTAGGCTAGCTTACGTCAAATAATAGAAGTAAGTTAGTTGTTGACGACTTCTCTGAAACAGTTTGTAATGTTTTGGGACGTTTTATCATTTTGGAGATCGATATGTCGCTCAGAGAGTTGAAAGTATGCCTGCTTGGGGTAAGATATAATTAACGCTACTTTATCTGCTAACGCAGCCGTAAAGCCTTAAAGCAGCCTTTATTGTTGTGCTCTTGCAACGAAAAATATGAAACACATGAAACATTAGCACCACATTCGTTTGCTAACTAATGTTTTATTATTATCGTTTTTATTTTTAATTTCTTTTATAACAGCTTAGATATAGAAAGTACAAGTATGACAATGAAGACAGGACAACAGCAGTATAGAACACATTTGAAACGCAAGGAGTGCATTAATACACCGGTATGGGAATTTTGGGCCGATTTCCGATATTTTTCATGTACGTACCTAGCGATGCTAATGCATGCACTTGTATAAAAAGCACATATATAGAAACTGGAAGTAGATCTGCTGAGATTGGAATTATGGAGAAATGTATCATTTTGTAAAGGGATAAAAATGCAGTAAAAATAATGATGTGTTAAGAGGATGTAAGGGGATGTTTTAACTTATTTTCTCTTAGAAAAACAACATGTAATTTGTACATGTACACTTTTGCATACAATCGTTTGTGCATAAAATATACAGACGTTGGCTTAGAATTCCTGTATTAGTGCATTCCTAATCAAAACAACCAAAAGTATTTTTTCGGTTCTCCTTACAAGCCGTTAATTGCTGTGCAGTCATCTTTCTGTCTAATTCGTCCGTCTTTTCCTTATGTATATGACACACAGCAAAATTTAAGACAGTCTTGTATCATGGTATTGTGGAGCCAAGTTTTCAGTGTTCTCTTGAAACTGAAAACTTGGCTTCGTGATACCATGATACTTCTGGACACATTTCTTAAAGAATGCTTGCTGTTTCACTGTTGAACTGTATATTATGCTTAGATCTAAACATTGCTCTTATTTCTAAGGATGCTTTCTTCAGTTCTACATATGCACCACATCATCCTGTTAACAGCACATTTTCCAGATTCCTTATCATATGTAAATTGCATATCCACAGCGTAAAGCACTTTGAAATACTTTGCTCTGTAGGTCTCAGATGGGGAAGGATGCAACAGCGTTATGTTTAATAAAGCATTCGACTTTCAGAATCATTTGCCAAGAATCAACCCTGACTTCCAGCGGCATCAGAGTTGAAGAATAGACTCTTCCAGAGTCGACACCCCATCACTAGAAGCAATCTGTGCTTTTGCACAGTCAAGCAGGCCTTCCTGAAAATTTAAAATTGGTTGAAGTAGCAAAATACTTACACATTCTTCTGTGGAAGTTATAGTTAACAAGTTCACAAACATATTGCTGCTGTCGGAACAAAACCTTGCATCTCCAAAATGATAACTTTACAGGAGAAGGAAACAACATACTTTACTTTGAATGTAAGTCAATGGAACCAGACTTTTTTCTGTCACTCCATTCATCATGAACTTCACCCACAATGTAAAGGTCAACATGCATTTTCAAATAATGTCAAAAACTGAAAAACGACAAAAATGGAGATGCAAGGTTTTGTTCCGACAACAGTGATATGGTGGTAGTCCAAAATTCACCTCAACTTTTATAGCTGTGTAGCTAGCTCGCCATTTTTTCTGCTCCAAGAACACAAACCTACCATGATGGTCTAAAATTGGAAGCTGACTCATCTCTGACTGAACAGTTATGCTAGCCAACGGTACATCCACTAGGTTAATGACTGCTATAATGGTCTTTAACTATTTCTGAATTTCTGAATGAAACTTATTTTACTTTATTGCTTAGAAGGACTTTTTAGAAGTAGCCAAGTGACTTAACTTTAAGTATTATAAAATGCATGAGGTATCTTGTCCTACTACGTTTCTTATACATTTGTTAAGGGCCTTTGCACTACCAGAGAGGGCTAACTAATATGTTAGCAGCTTTGCAAGCAAATGTAGCTTCTTGAGTAGCCTTACACAGAGGGCAAAATATGCTAATTAAAATTCCAAGGTTTCCTTCATTAAAAGATTAATGTAAGTATATTGTGCAATAAACGGAGCCACTAACAAAACATTTATCATCAGCTGCTGAAACTGTAACAGTTTACCTGCTCAGATATTTATAAAACATAAATTAAACACCTTACCCTACGGTGCAGATAACAAAGATGGACAAACAGAAATTTTGATTAAGGGGGTACACTGTTATAACAGAGAGGTGGCCCTGCTGTTCCCTTCATAGGCTGAGCCTTGGATACAAGAACTGTGGGTCAAAAACAGGTCATTCCATGACAGAATGGAGGATTTGGCACCACCCATCATTCATAAAGAGTATACGAAGTGATAAGGGCATCCATTTTTTATTTTTGTGTGTAAACATGCAGTGAATTTAAAGAAACTTGAGATTTTTAACAGCCAGTATCAGCCTAGAGGAAACTGAGTTCTAGTGCTTTTAAAGGTACAGTGTGTAAGAAAGCCATGAAAGACATTCTCTAGAGCCATTTTTTGGTTTGTCCATTCTGGGCTACTGTAGAAACATGGCAGTGCAACATGGCAGTCTTTGTTGGAAGAGGACCCATTCCTTATGTAGATATGAAAGGGCTTGTTCGTAGTTGCAGACAACTATACACATGGTTTTCTATGCTATAATCCATTTCTGCCAGTTGATCCCCTAAATCTTACACACTGCACCTTTAAATGGTCACTAAAATCAAAATATACGTCACAATATATCTCTCCAAACCCATTTCTGTTTTCCTAAAATACATAACTAATCAGCATATATATGCACATTTGTATGCAAATGTTTGGTTGCCTGTGGTTAGAACCCATTATGTTAAACTGAACAAATGGAATAAAAATTGGGCATTACAATGAAAATAAAAAGTGCATAAAATTGGCATATTAAGTTTGTTCCAAGGATGTGTTAACTTGGTTTTACAAGTCAACAAAACATGCACTTTGCCCAAAACTTGCACATCTTACATTAATACATGCAGAAATTAGTGATGCTCATTCTGAATCATTTGAAGTATTCAAGCAAAGTGAATCTAATGATCCAATTTAATTTGAAGTTTTAAAACATGGGATGTGACCTGATGTCACATTAATAATGTTAGCAGAAATGTTTATTTTATGTGCAGTGCAAACTGACAGCATTGTACATGTTATATCTGTAGTCTTGGACATTATATAGGACTGCTTATATTGTTTTGCATAGAATGTCTTTCTAAGTTATGTATGTGTTGATATATAGAAGTGTAAAAATTGTATTGCACTAAGCTTGTTTAGTTATGACATTCAACAACTGCTGCTGAGTGATACTAAAACTTAACAAGGCAAATAATATTGATATAATGGAAGTACATGCTTCTTTCAACAGTTTGCCAGTTATTCACTGGAATAACACACGTGTAATCAGTATTATTGTATTCAGAAACAACAGGCACAAGTAATTATGATTGGTGAGTCTAACATGACTGTTTCGAAACCTGAGGATTGTCTCGCTCGTTTTTACTATTACCACTAGATATTAAATTAGTTACTTAGTTACTTAGTTAATTAATTAGTTAATGTGCTAGATCAAACATTCTGTGTAACAGGCTTGATTTAAAGAGTTCTGGAAACCTGATCAGACATGCCTGTTTGGAATCCATAGCTCATTCCATGAAAATTGCTAAAGAATGATTGATTCATTCTCAGTGAGTTTTGCATTCTAAGTTGAATGTGTTACACTGTGTTGTAGGACACGGGGGTGGGAAAGTCAAGTATTGTGTGGAGATTTGTGGAGGACAGCTTTGATCCCAACATTAATCCTACAATTGGGTAAGCTCATTGCTAACATAAAGCTCACTCACTTGCTTACTGGTCATGCTGAGTATTAGGCCTAAGGTCACAACATAGCTTTTCATTTATTTTCTAGTATGATGGAATGGTTTTGTATATGCTCAGTTAAAGCCAGCTAAAAGTAAACATAATATTAAAAAAATATTAAAACCAGGTTCTATGTTTGTACTTAAGGATTTTTTTTCAGCAGTGTGCATTGTTGATTTCAGACTCGGATTTGTTTATTTGATTGCTTTAAATTTTGATTAAGCCTTTCTCTGACTTGGTTTTGACAGCATGTTTATTTACAAAGACTATTCCTCTTTTGTCTCTAATTTGCAGAGCTTCATTTATGACGAAGACAGTACAGTACCAAAATGAGCTCCATAAATTTCTTATCTGGGACACAGCAGGACAAGAAAGGGTAAACAAACACACATTCACTAGAATACCACTGAATCACAGTACTGAACACTGCTGCTCTCATTCTATTTCTATCTGGAAGCCTTCCGACATGTAGTAATATTATGTGTTTCCGACAGGGGGCAGTGTTTCTGTCTGTTTAATCTGTGTTTTGTGTGGGATTTTGCTTTGCCCCTTTTAAAATATCCCATCTGTGCTCCTCACTTGTGCTCTTTCAGTATTCTCCCTCTCACTTACATGTATGTGAAGGTCATGCATTCACTGAGTGGTGTGTGCCTACATGCATTTCAGTTCTGTAAGGTACTATTGTAAGATGTTTATGAGGATCTAACTACCACTTTAAAAATGACAGGATTACAATCTCCTCTGAAGTTGATCTGTAATAATATGGGATATTATATATAGGGTGCACAGTAGCACAAGTTAAGACACTGTGTATAAAGAGTCAAGAAGTTGTCTTTAGTCTATAAGGAAATTCTGTGACAGGACACAGAATTCTGCCAAAATATCTATGGCCTTTAAAACCTTCATAGACCTTCGATTGGATCTACTTCAGCAACAACATGGTAACAATAAACACTTGTTGTATATTAATAGTATTATAGTGGATGTAATCAATAATAATAATAATAGTATTTTATTCTACTCATACCCATCTGTGCCTTGCTGACCGCTATCTGACTAAAATAATTTTTAAGAGAGATACTTTAAGAGTTACTATACTGTGTCCTGTATGTCTTGAGTATTCACACAGCAAATGTTTCCATCCATATCGATTTTGCCATCAGTGACAAAAATATTGTCAGTTCTGTTAATGTTACGCATGATGTTATAGGGCCCATATTCTGTGTTTTTGTTGTGTTTTTGTCCTCAACTCCAGTTATAATATTTGTGAGGTTTTATATACCCAAAACAGCCATAATTAATTGTTATATGACAATTTTTCATCCTTTCTTTAGAATTAGGCATGCTGTTTTTGATACTGTGCCAAATTTATCTCTGTTCCGATTGGCTGCTCTGTATTCAAAAAGCAGTCCAAGCTGGAACACTCTTTATAACTTCAACATGAATGGGCAGGGCTAAATTACTGTTGGCTGAGTAAATGGATATGTGTATTGTTTTTGTGACATCACAGAAACATTGAATTCTAAACAAGCTGTTTTTGCATCTTTAACAATATTTGAAACTTTGAAAATTTAGCAATATTTACATGTCACATCAAATTATTTTTTTATTTTTTTTCTGTCATATGGGGCCTTTAAGCTTTAATGAGCACTACAGATAGCTTGTAGCATGACATAGCTTCAGATAATCAGTCTACTGGATTTTGGTTGGAAGTAGGGTAGATTGATGTGTCAGTTGGCTGACATCGGCCAATACTGAGGTACAGCAGATTTATGGGTATCTACAAAACTCATGCCAATATTTATTGTGGGGTTTTGTTATTTAGATTTATATCATTCATATAAAGGTTTAGTTAAAATATGCCCTGTAAACCATTTTTGATTTTTTTAATATTTTTATGTTTCATGATATGTTGTTGGGAGTGGGCTTTACACATAAAGGATATATCAATACTATATTACGATTAATACCATCTTTATTAGAGAAATAAAAATATGTTTTCCATTATACATCAACTGTTATTTTTTTCAAAAACTTTTTAAATCTAAAATTATTACAAACAGATATAAAGCTCGGTTTAAACTAGTCACAAACAACTCAAGAATGTAAAGTTCATTTATAGTGCTTAAGTACAGTGATTGGATGCAAAACATGGTTTGGATAATTTCGTTCAATCGTGCCATGTATTTATTATAGTGACTTTAACTGCAAAAATACCACTATTGGTGAATTCATATTCTTTGTGTATGTTGCCGTCAACCTTTTTAGTGATACTCTTGTGTTACTGTAATGTTTCATATATATATATATATATATATATATATATATATATATATATATATATGTATATATATGTATATGTGTGTGTGTATATATATATGTATATATATATATATATATATATGTGTGTATATATATATAACCTCCCAAGTGAAATAGTAATTTGGCAGAAAGTGCAGAATTAATTAGTTGTATCCACAAGCTATGATAAACGCAGTAACGCAATAGAATTCATTAAACTTCTAGAGACATTTGAATTGAAACAGCACTTGGGCAGCCCTACCCACAAGCTAGGTCACTTCCTGGACCTGGTTAAACACAAATGTGTCCCTCATTTCTGTTTTTTATATTAGATCATTTCTGTATTTTCTTTCAGATCAATTTAGAAGTAAGGAAGAAAGTTCACCCACATGTGATCTAGACCCTTTTCCTTCTTCTGTCTTTAAGATGCTCTTTGATTGTGTTCAAAGTGCTTTAACTATTGTAAACTGTTCTCTCTCAACTGCTTTTAAAATAGCCTTGGTGAAGCCTCTACTAAAAGAGTAGCATGGATCCTTCCATACTAAATAATTTTAGACCAGTTTCAAACCTTTTTTTAGGCAGTTTTAGGCAGATTTTCTTTTTAACCGTAGTACTGAGACAGCTTCGTGTTATCAATGACCTCAGGCTTAGCGCTGATGCACAGCTTCTATCCTGCTATTCTGGTCTTATTGGATCTTAGTGCAGCTTTTGATACCGTTGATCACAAGATTCTAATCCACTGTCTTGAATACTGGGTAGGCCTTTCAGGCACAGTTTTAGAATAGTTTAAATCATGTTTAGTTCACAGACAGTTTGTGGTTTCGCTGGGAAATCATTAATCATTTTCCTTGTGAAGCCCCACAAGGTTCAGTTTTAGGGCCTTTGCTTTTCTCTTTGTACATGTTACCTCTAGGTGATGTCATTGGGGAAATAATATACATTTTTATTGTTTTTTATTTCCATTCCCTCTGATGATCAAGACTGTGTTGACAGGCTTTCTAGCTGTGTGTTAGAAATTTGTCAGTGAATATCCCAAAATTTTCTACAACTAAATCATTAACAAACTGAAACACCGAAACTCAGAGAAAGCTGCTTTGTGAAAAGCTTGACTCTTTAGCTTCATATACCGAACCTGAAGTATACTGCATGTAATTGCAGTCACTAAAGTAGTGAGAAATATTACCAAAGTTATGCCTTTTCTATCTCAGAGCGACACAGAGAAACCTGTTAATGCATTTGTTACAAGCAGAGTTGGTTATTGTAATGTTTTTCTTACTGGGCCCCCTTAAGAATACAGTACATCCTCTACAGTTCGTACAAAATGCGGCAGCACGGATCTAAACAAAAACGAGAGCTCATATCACTCCCTTTTTTGAAAGAAGCGGACTTGCTACCTGTATCTTTCAGGATACGTTTTAAAGTTCTGCAACTGGCTTTTTAAGGCTCTAGATGACCTAGCGCCCGCTTACATAACAATGTCTGTCTGTTTATGCTCCAGCACACAATTTTAGATCTGCAGATACTGGTTTTCTGCAAATACCTTCCATAAAAGATGTGGAGAGACTTTTTTGCATTTATTATGCTTCTAAACTGTGGAACTCAATTACACCTTTTATTAGACATTTAACCTCAGTGTACACTTTCAAGAAACATTTAAAAACATATCTCTTAAACTTGGCGTTTAATTAAAACTCTACATCTCTTGGTGTTCATTTTTATAATTTGATCTGTGTCATTGTCTTCATGCCAGCAGCTCAAAGTGCTTCACAGACAGGTGACAAACCTTAATATAAAACCCTTTTTGCTTAGAGTGTAGTTTAATAAATGATAAGTTTACATTTTGAAATATGTGAATATTTTTTATGAAATAAGAATATTGTTAATTTTCCTTCCAGAGCTAATCTGCTATTATTTTTCAGTGTTGTCTTGAGTGATCCAGCTTATTATGTGTATGTTTTTGTTGTATTCTAATTACTGTAAAATAAAAAAATACTGTTACTATGTTTAGGGCCTATGCATAAGTGCAGTGCATAATTAAGTTATTTTCAAGTTGTTTGGGTGCAAAAATGAACTTGCTTAATCACCTTTTCTATCATTTTATGCAGTTCCCTCTATTTTAACAGTGCACACAAAAGCTACTTGACTGCTGATAGTTGTTTCTTGCAGGGAATGTTCAGCTTGCTAAATGTAATTGACTGAGTTATAAACCAGGTCCATGACGTGTAGGGTTGAACTGATAGACGATGTTAACATCCTTTGTTGCTCAAAGTGTTTCTGTAATCTCGCCGCTCCGGGTTTTCTATCTTCCACTCCTCTCTTGCTCCTTGTTCACGTCATTGAAATCCCGCTCCATGTCCGCTCTGTATAATACATTATGATATTTATTTTATGTCTTCAGTGTATGAACTAGACGCTAGACATTTTATTTCATCAATTATATAATTTGTGGCCATTATTTAACAAAAAATAGGTAAACGTTTTGTGCTGCACAGATTTTTGGAAGGTTTAGCCTTGAAGCAATGGCTCAATCACAAGCTAGAAAACTGCAGAGGGTAAACACATGCACGTGTTTAACACCATCTTTATCATTCTTGCAGCAAAATAGATTACATGAGACTGACTCTGTGAGATGTCTATAGAACTTTGTCACAAATGGTGAGAATTTTTAAGTATTTAGGTCTGCAGAACAATTCTGCAGCACAAACAGTGTGTGTGAATAGCTGTCGTGTGTCAGCTGTAGCGTCACTACTGCGTCACTCATGTCACACAGAGGTAGTCAGTATGGAAAAAGACATACTGAAAAAATTGGTTTTCAGAATGGAGCAATATTGGAGTGATTTTGGAGCAAGTGAGAAAACTAAAGCTCTGACTTTCTGAAAAGCTGCTCTGCAGTCTGAGCAAAATCACATCGCTCCACTCCACACCACTCACATGCTCTGATTGCTATAATTCCAGTGTCTCTGCTATATCATAAACTATATTTATTACTTATTACTTACCCAGAGATATGAACTAATGAATATGTATTTTAAGGAATGTTAAGTTTTAATAATACCTTTGTAAGACTAATGCTAAGACAGAGTCTTCGAATTGGAGGATATGTGGCCAGTCAATTTAAAGCACTGGGCTAATTTTGCCTAGCAGTGGGCACACGATTAGTCAGGTTAGTATTTCTCTGCACTGCTGATTGGCTGAGGGTACTGCTCTAAATCTAATGAGGAGTTTGGCATCTACATGTGACATGCACCTAGCGGCACAGGTAGCGATTTGGGGAACATATAGCTTTGTAAATATGATTTATTAATTGGCATTAATTTTTTTGACCCTTCATTATACAAATAGTTCAATATTTCTGTATGTCCTTTTTTGCTTAAGGCAGCACCCCAGGCCCATGCTGGACAAAACACAATGTTTAGGTGGTATTTTTGTGGAGGGATGTTTTGTTAGGAATGTCCAACATACAACATGCATGAGGAAAGGGGCGGTTGTGCAACATATCATGCAAACAGAAAAACAGCCTGGTATTCATTGTTTTACTGTGCTGTTACTGCGCTCTAAATGCCATGATAAATGTAGTGGTGTGTTTTAATAATATGGTCCTTAATCGCCAGTTAATTGAATAACAAGTGAAGCATGTTTTATCTATCTTTTAAGAGATATGAAGTAGAGATGCAGATAATGCTGAGCAAAAATCTACAGTTCTCTGGGTTGCAAGACCTTTTACAGCTATTTTACAGATGTCAGCAACTGCATAGATGATTTAACTGCTTGCATATTTTTCAAAAACAATGTTGTGCGTGTTTTTTTTTCACACTTATTAAATTCATCCACAATATCAAGCCCTTTTTCCAGGGTAAACCACTGGTGCATTTGTGATCTTTCTACATTTGTGACATGTTCTTGGCTTTAAGCCTAAGTGAACGTTTAGTGCTTCAGTGCTCACAGGTTTTGGTTGGTACCTATGTTCATGACACTGAGTAGGTCTGATTGAAAAAGATTGCTTACTGTGGCTGCCTGTTTTAGTCTCTAAATTCTTAATCTTTTGTGATATACCACCCAATTGGAGTGTCTGTGGTTTAAACGAAATGCTTCAATTTGTGAGTCATTATTAGGCATTCGAGGGTTTGGGGTAGCATTGTCATGTCATCCCAGTGCTTCACCAAACTATAAAACCTTTATATCATCTCTGTTGTGTGTTTGTCATCTCTAGTTCAGTGTGCATTTGATTTGAAGTTTAAACTGAATATAAATAGACATTGGTGAATTGGCCATGGAGATTCAAATGCTAACAGCTTTAGGCACATTGCAGTCATCTTTCTCCTGATGGCTCCCACATGTGTCGCTGGCCAGCCTGAGTGAGCTGCCATGCCTTTTGCTGCCTTTTCTAATGCAAGACCTCTTGGCAGGGATAACTGAAACACAATACTCCTCAGGTCTTTACGGTGGCTGTAGTTTGGGTCTTTTCCCAGTGTGGTTTCCTCTCCAGCCCTCGAGTTCTGTTTAAAAGCTGGAAGGAACAACATAAAGCGTAAGGTCTGACTGTTTGTATTGGAACTGTTAATGTTTCAGGATTGTAGGACATTTAAAGGGAAGTTTCACCATTTATGAAATTTCTCTCCTTATGTCTTCATCTTCTTCCTGTAGGGTGTAGCCTGCAGTTATAATGGCAGAAAGATGCCTCACTTGTATTTAAAATGAATGTCAAAACAAAGTCTATAAATATTTCTAGACTAATGTTCTTTCCATTCCCCTTTAGTTTCGTGCCCTTGCCCCTATGTACTACAGAGGCTCAGCAGCAGCCATCATTGTGTATGACATCACTAAAGAGGTAATGTATTATGTCTTTGTCTTTACGTATGTTATAAAAAATATATTTAAATGTCCTCTGGTAGTTTAAATGTTTTTGACTGCTCTAATGGCCACCGTACCAATTAACTTATCACTGTATATTTGGAAAACCAGACCTTAGTTCAGAGTTATCCATGCAATACATTCTGTCAAGTTTTGGCTCTTTAGAAGTTTTAATTGTCATCCACAGTCATAATATAAAGAAGTCTATAAACCATGCTTTGCCAGGTACATTACAAAGCATGAGGTATATGATGGAATAATGAAATGTAATAATAAAATGTCTCACCTCTCACTACAGGTGATTGAAAGGTCTTACATAGTTACACTGGTTGTACTGCTATGGAAAAAATTCACCTGTTTGTATTCACTCTTATTCACTTTGAGTTGATGAGGAATTTTTTTACTAAGGTGGAATCACAAAACTACATTAAATGCTGTGGAATTATCACTACCATAAATAATTTCTAATATGTAATATAGTAAGAAAAGCCCTTATAGATTTAAACATTCCAAGATGCCTGTAGCAAATGATTGAATGTGAAATACACTATAAATATTAAATGTTAAAGAAGAATAAACACATATGAAACAGTAAAATCACTGCTATCCAAGCAAAAACTAAATGGTGGAGCAAAATTTATTGGTTCTTAAAAAATAAAAATGTGGCAAGACTTGGCTACAGTGTGCTAGTGGAAAAGCAGCAAGAAGGGAGGCTGATCTTTCTCTGCCTGGCAAAAGATGACTGGGCGAGAGTTGGGTGGTGTGACAGTAATGCGGTATACCGTGGTATGTAAAAATTATAACAGTATTTCACAATTTTGACATGTCAAATTTCTATTCCACGTCTGAATGGATAAATAAACACGTTCACCCATTTATATTTTGGAGGGCTCAGTGATTGGTGTGGGAGCTCACTAGTAGGTGGCTCTAACTGAAAACGTGGAGAAATCTTTGACTTGGCCAAAGCATGTTGTGCAAACCTCATTTCAGCTGTTAATGAAAAAAGGTCTTAGGGTGTAGTTACTCTTTAAGATCTCTATAAGCAAAAATTCACACAATTTTGCAGGCGCTACGTTCATTGTAGATCCAAAATAAGCAAAAATTCACACAATTTTGCAGGCGTATGGCATGTGTGACTGTCTCATGTAAATACTTTATAACTGTAATTGACCCAAATGCCAAACTATTACCCCAAATTACCCTAGGGTTCTAAGGGCTAAACCCCTCAGAATAGGTTCAATTCTGTGGTGGTTGAAAGATTTAAATCATAATTTTTAGTCATCTCATCTGGGTAAGTGTTTTATTTTTCCAGAAATTAACATGTTTTGTGGTGGGCAGAGGTTTTAGCATGCTAGCGAAGCTAAATCTAACCAGCTCCTCTCTACTCTTTTGCAGCATTGTTTAACATTGGTCAATCGTTCCGTAGATGATTTCATTATAATTGAATGATGGCTTGAAAATTGTGTTTTTTTTTGTTTTTTTTTGTTTTTTTTAACCATAGCAAAATGGCGCGCAACGTTTTGGCATTCAGGGTGCCCCTGGTAACGCTTAATGTAGCGTCTGTTTCTGGAGGAAGTGATGCCCTTCAATAAAAAGTTGGTTAAGTCACAAGCAGGAAAAGCTCTTTCTCGTTGTGGCAATATGCACATGTGCAGTAGCCAGAACAATCTGAAAAAACATGGTTGTGTGTTACCTGATCCAAACAGTACAAACTATTTAAACCGTTTTTCTTTGATTTTACCAGTGATTTCAAATATGTTTTTATGTTAATTTGGCTTTTAGTTTGGGGTTCATCGGTCTCTCCCCATTAAAAAAGATAGCAGACTAGAATTAATACACAGGAGCATTGCCAAGATGGCCATTGAGTGGACAGACTTTCTTATAAGGATTTCGGTTCCGCTCAGTTGGTTAACTTTGCTAGACAAACATCTGAGGAACATCAAATCCTAGCTTAAAAATGTTAGTAGTAGGATAATATTGCAACTTACATTTAGTAAATTTCACATACTCTGTTAAGAAAATGTGACTGCAAGTGCATAAATATTTGTTTGTAAATGGCAGTAAAATATTGCTATGGCAGTCCTCTCCCTGAACAAAATCGCACAGGCTTCCCTTTTTGGGAGTGGTCCCACCTCCCAGCTGAAATTGAGATTTTCATTGATTGATTATGCCTCTGTTTGACTATCTGTCTGATTGTACTTGTAGGTCACTGGACTTTTTTTTTTCTTCTTTTTTCCCTTCTTTCCCCTACAGAACTTGAATGATGAATGGCACATGCCGGAATTACATTCATATGCCGGTTTAGAGGGGACAGCTCTAGATCCGTAGATGTAGTGTTGGCTTACTTAACTGCCGTTTACAGGCATATGAAATCAACCCTTGCTTTCGATCAAAAGCATCGTTGAAATGTGTTGTCAAATACCAGCCTGTCCAGCCAGTTTTGCCTAGCCTGTTTGATCATTTAGCAGCAGACTGTTAAGAGCTTTTAGAAGTGGCCTATCTGCTACAGATTATCGTTTATGTTGCAAATGCTGTTTGCTATCCGGTGTCGACCAGAGGAGGATGGATTCCCCTTTTGAGTCTTGGTTCCTCTTAAGGTTTCTTCCTCTTGCTCTTAGGGAGTTTTTCCTTGCCACTGTCGCCATTGGCTTGCTCATGGGGGCTTGGACCCGGATTTTTCTGTAAAGCTGCTTTGTGACAACACCTGTTGTAAAAAGCGCTATATAAATAAACTTTGACTTGACTTGACTCTATGAAAAGCAATGTGACGTGTAACCTACTTGCAATTAGAGGCCTTAAAGAGATCATCAGTAATTAGAATGGAAATAACAATGCCTGTACCCGCTCAGAGTGAAGGTGTTGATTTCAGTGATTTCAGAGTAAACTCCAGTAAAGCGAGCCAGTGCTATATCAACTAACAGATCTAGCGTTGTCCCCTTAAGTCTCTTATCTTACTGTGCCATTCATTGTTTTGCTATGAAGGAAAGCCTTACTTAGAAGCCCTAGAGCAGGGACTCCCACTCTCAGTCCTGGGGACCCCACACTATGCATGCTTTTGTGCGTTCACTCATCCAACACTCCATCTAACAGATCATCTATCAGTTATCATGATAAGTTATGTCACAATACCATATGCTTTTCTTAACATATTGTGGTTATTGTCAGTACTTGCAGAACACTGAACAAATGCATTTTCAAAAATCGTGCATAGTATTCACAGTTTTTGGTGGTATTTTTTTTTTTAAATGTAGTCCGACTGGTTCTTTTCTTCTCAGTTACAACTGATCAGATGTTTGAAAAAATAAATATTGTCACAGTCTGCCTTCAAATATACAGAAAATATATAGACTAGATTGCCTTACTTTCTACTTTCTGCTTCCTAGCTTTTTTCTCATAGCTAACTCTAACTCAGGCTGTTTTTTATACCTGTTTCGTTTGCTAAAGTCCAAACAAGAATTTGAGTTTTTGTGACACATTTTTATAATTTGGTTCGCTTGGCTTTGCACTGCAACAACTGAAGTGCACCAGTTTACAGATGTGAATGCTTGTTTATTGGTCAAAAATTTTGCAGGGATACAAGCTCTCTGTTATTCTCTTTAGCCACTATTTCTTGCATGAAAATAGAGATGCTTGACATCTATATGTATTGAAGCAATAATAATAAACCTTACATGATATTTGCTTCATGATTCGTTTGTCAATTTGAATGTAACCGGTCAGGTAGCTGATGCAGTGTTCCATTATCCATGTGCCAAAATCAAAGGCATTGCTTTGCTATTATCTTATTACTCCTGTGCCAATATGAATCTCTGTCAAGAGTCAGTGTCAATGTACTGCTTCTAGTTCTCACAGTCTTTTTCATGAGTCTCATGGATCCTTACTCTATGGTTCTATTTAGTGTTTCATTTAATCTCTTTAATCATAATACTCATAACTTTCATTTGGTCATTGTAAATCTGCTATGTAGGTTTGACCATAGGAGGATGGGTTCCACTTTTGAGTCTTGGTTCCTCTTAAGGTTTTTTCCTCATGCTCTTAAGGGAATTTTTTTCTGCCACTGTCACTCTGAGCTGATCCATCATGGGCTTGGATCTGGATTTCTGTTAAGCTGCTTTGTGACTGCATCCATTGTAAAAAATCGTTATATGAATGGAATAGAATAGAATGCAGTGAATTAGTTGCACTGTTTTCAGATCTGTGGTGTATCAAACCTGTAATGTAGAAGTTCTTGGGAATTGTATGCCTTCTTGAAACTCTTTATGAACAGTGATTACAAATTCTCATGTTAATCGTAGAAACCGTGAAGTGGTTCCATTGCTGCTGACATTTTCACTGCCACTGAAACTGAACCCATCTGCACTGCCCAGTGCAAGAAAGCAAAGTAACGGCATTTTCAGCCTTTGCTTCTAATTTTCATTAGCATTAAATGATTAGTTAAATATTACATTATTGTTAAATTCTGATGCTTTGTTGTAGGCAAATATATTTTTTCTGGTGTATCCCTGGTGTATCCCTGTTTACTTATTTCTTTATTTTTACAAGTGAGTTACAGTTGAAAGTATAGATATTTCTGCAGCTGAATATGCAGTACTTAGTGTAACGACCCTATGTTAAGATGTACATAACTTGAACGATCAATGGGAATTGGGTTCACAATGACTATGCTGTTGTAAAACTTATACATGCGGTGTACAAAGTACAAATACCTTGTAAGTGAGACACTTTTCTGAGGAGCTGCACTTACAATGCAGTGTATAAAGCAAATATGATGCATTGGCTTATTTTTGTTTCAAATACTTCAAGAATTGAATGAGAACTTAGTCCAACATCACAGCTTTCATTGTTTGTGCGTCATGTTAACAGATAGGGGTGCGGGAAAAAATCTATTCTTAGATGCATTGTGATGCGGACGTGAACGATTCTGAATCGATTCACAAATGTCAAAAATCGATTTTCTAAATATTTAATTTATAACGTAATGTTGACGGAATGTAAAAAGCGGAACTTGGAAGTGGGTAAGTGCAGCGCCTGGACAGTCTGTGGCAGCACGTAACAAAAACACAAGTGGATGAGCGAGAAATCTGACCGGCTCCCTCTGCATTAAAGCCAGGGTAAATCAGCAGTCACAACACCAATGATAAGAAGAGCCATTTTGTCCTTTCAACAAAAATCAAACCACCTTGGCAGCCACAACATTTAATGTCCAGTATGTCTCAGTATGTGTTAATGTCCTAGTATAGACTAAACAATATAAATGAAAACGCAGACTTACTCTACTCTGCTTTAAGCTTTAGCTATAGCCGCTTTTCTTCCATCTCCTCCAGAAAACCTTTCCTCAGAAGTAGATCAGTTAAATGTCTCTTTACAACTGTTTTACGAGGCTGAAGTCGCTTCTTATTCTCCAGCTTCTTGTTTGAATTTACCCGTTCCATCTTAAATTCTAACTGAGGTGCCGAATGTAAATGCGGCACCATTTAAGGTGGAACGGGAGAATTCTTTGTCACTTTAAAATGTATATTGTCTCTATATTCTGTGTATATTTTGTGTATATTTAATATATTTCAGTTGGTTTTTCTTGTATTTTTATTTTTACTTATTTACTTTCTGTAGAGTAATTAGAGTCTCACCGCAAGCATTTCAATGCATGAATGTCCTGACATGTTGTGCAAATGACAAATAAACTTGAAACTTGAACTCGAAACTTGAGCTCACACAGTGAGAGAATATAAATGCTATATAGAAAAAAAAGATGCATCGAGATGCATCGATAATCGTTTTATAGTCGCATCGCAGCCCTCTGAATCGTAATCGAATCGTGAGGTGCCTAGAGATCCCACCCCTATTAACAGAGATAGATTAGAAAATCATCATTATTTTGGGGTCATTTTAGCTTTTTAGAGTTTTGCTTTGGCATGCACACAAACACTGATGTACCCACAAAACTGTTACATTGCTTTTAATAGCAAAAAAAAAAGAAGTTACTTCTTTCAGTTTATCCTTCTTTATTTACTGGATGGATGGATGGATGGATGGATGGACGGATGGATGGACGGATACTTTATTGATCCCAAAGGAAAGTAGCAGTCACACAACACAGGACAGTAATAATAAGGGTGAAACAATATAAAATGAAGAATAAATATATATATATATATATATATATATATATATATATATATATATATATATATATATATATATATATATAAAACAAAAAAGACATGTATATTTATTTATTAGAGCTGGGCGATATGGCCAAAAATGTTATCAAGATAAACAAAATTCATATCGTTCGATATCGATACATACCGCGATAAATGTCAAATCATTATTTCTTTCAAGTTTGAAGGCTGATTTTTGCTCCTGGGTGGTTAATTGCTGTTTTAAACTATCCTTTATGATCGGAACATGACAAACACCAAACAGTGGAACATTTCACATCTGTCATGGGAGAGTGGGAGAAAGCGTATGGTGAGCTGGTTTTACCAGCTGGAAAAGCATGGCTATTTTGTAATAGTCATAATTTAAGAAAGAAAACAGATTATTTTTAGCTGGTGACGAGCGCTCGGCTACCCCGTTACAAATGAAATCAATGTATTCAGACACCAGCTAGCGACGACTGGATTTCTCTATACTATCGTAGTAGTTTAAGTGGTGAACCGCAAAATATCAACACCAGACAAACAGAGTCCTCTTTTTAGGTACGTTTAAACTGAAAGCGGTGCTTTTGTGTCGTGTTTGATCTACAGTATCATTAATTCTCCGTGTTGTGAAATGACGGAGCGCTGCTTCAAGTTAGCCAGCTGCTAAAAACAGCTAGCCTGGAAAGTTAGCGCTCTCCCGCTCGCCAGTGCCTCACAGCTTCCTGTAACAGCGCTTTAGTTGTGAGGATTGTGATTTAACGCTGCTAAAGCTGGTTAGGATGTTAGGAAAGAGGTGAGTTCGCTGTAGGACAGTATAGTTACACCACTGACCTCGTCACACTCGGTCACAGGAGAACAGATCGGCGGTCGCTCCACTCAAACAGGGAATGTGTAACTCCGCGTTTCAGCCGTTGCTAAAGACTCCTCTTACTCGTGGCCCCCTCCCTCTCTAATCATGTTATATCGCGATAATTATCGTTATCGTTTTATCGCCCAGCCCTAACACACATAAATATATATATATATATATGTATATATAAATTCTGGAATAAGATCTATAACCTGAGATGAAAAAGGCAGTGCAATAATGACTGTACAAGGAGGCGCAGGTAATGGAATATAATGACAATACTGAATAAATATGTGCATATATTGGTACTGAGATAAAGCGTCTAGGTGTGGAGTGTCCAGATATGCAAGATGCGCGATAGGGGGTACAGAAAGTGCAATATGTACCGTAAGGTGTCAATATGTGCATATGGATAAAGTAAACTTAGGATTTAACATGAGATTCAGATTCAGTCCTCATCTCTCCTCCTCCCTCTTCTCTCTTCTCTTCTGGCCCCACTGGGAACAGTTGAGGAGTCTGATGGCTCTAGGGACAAAGGATCTCCTGAATCGGTCAGTTGAGCAGCTCTGTGACAGCAACCTGCCACTAAACATGCTACTCCTGTCCATGATGAAGGTGTGCAGCGGGTGGCGTCATCCTCCATAATGGAGAGCAGTTTGTGCAATGTCCTTCTCTCGGCCACCTTAACCACAGAGTCCAGTTCCACACCGACCACTGACCCTGCTCGCCTGACCAGCTTGTCCAGTCACATCTTGTCTCGTTTTCATGCTTCTGCCCTAGCACACCGCAGCATAAAAAAGACAGCTGGCAACCACGGTCTGATAGAACACCTTCAGTGGAATTTTCACAAAACATCTTCACTTGGTTACTATTATTTGTCATTAACAGCATTTTTCTGTCAGCTTAGACCAGAGATTGTGTGTGTGATGTGTTTTTTACACTGCACATTTTATCCTGATTAATCAGCTTATAGTAGAAAATCAGGCCCCTTGGTTGACTATGAAAATCTTTCTGCCCAAATGAATCCCAGTTTGGTTTCTATAACATAGAATTCTAGAATATTAGAATGTATCCTTATGTAAACTAACCAATTGATGTGTAGTCTACTCCACACTGCTCTGTTCATGTCTCTTGTTAAAATAACATGTCCGCTGCTGCTGTGCGCGCTCTCTCTCTCTGTCTCAGGAATCCTTTCAGACTTTGAAAAACTGGGTAAAGGAGCTTCGCCAGCATGGACCTCCCAACATAGTAGTGGCCATCGCTGGAAACAAATGTGATCTCTCTGATGCCAGGTTCATTACTCTGCCACATTTCTTGCCTCCACAGATCCCACTTCATCTGTCAACTCACATAAATTTTAAAGCACCATAGACATGTGTCTGTCTACTCAGTTCAGTTTGGTTAATTCCTGTCAGCTGAACTTTGCTCAGTAATAACATACATGACCCGTCACCATCAATGCAACTCAAAGAAGAAATTGTGCTCTTTAATGATCCATGGCTCATTTTTCCAGTTAAAATAGCTTCAGTCTTCTCATAGAACAAGCAGTATGTCTTGGTTCGCTGTTGCTTTGTTTGGCAGATTTAGATGTCTGTCAGTGTGGTCATATTTTTCTTTCCCAAAGCCATAATAACCAGGACTAGAGAAGGAGGCAGTTCAGTTGTACCACAAATGTTCAGACCCACACTGACTATGAAAGCAAATGCTCCCCAAGCTAAAGTACAATATGGATGAATTTTACACTCTGGCTTGAAATGCTGCACTGCAGGAAGAAATAGTCCTCTTTATCCAAAACTATGCAAGTAAAAAATTCCCAAAGCTCTACATATAGTTAAAACACAAAAAATACAGAAAACTGCTCAATGATGTGTAAGAGTATGTACACACTTGTGCCAAAACCTTAATAGAAAATTCATATGACATCACTGTGGTTGGTTTAAAGCTTGCGCGACCCGATCCATGTACCAGTTCTCAGGTGACATGCTTAGAAAAGAACCTATAACCATATACAATGGAACATCCTACTCTGTGCTATGGATATGTCATGGCAACAAAACATGGTTAGCATGTCTCTTGTTAGCCATTACACATATTAACCATGTCTATCTAACACATTTATACAAACACACATGACTTTAATGTAAGCCTGTACACATTTCCACTGTATTTACATAATTTTAATCTCAAAAATGTCTTGTAAATATTTAGTTCTGTTTGATTACTAAGATGAATTGATTGAAGCAAAATAGTACATTTTCTATTAAGTCAATAAAATCAATTAATACCCTAGCATAATTATCATATGTACTGTTTTTAGCTCAGGCTAATGTTTTAAACATAAATTTGTATTATACTTATTATTTTTCCCTTTCCATTACAGAGAAGTATCCGAGAAGGATGCCAAGGACTATGCTGATTCCATCCATGCTGTTTTTGTTGAAACTAGTGCCAAGAATGCTATTAACATCAATGAAATCTTCACTGAGATAAGTAAGGAAGCTCATCTAGTTTTCTTTGCTACTCTCTATAAAGACCGTTTTAGACAAGGTGTTGTGCTACACTCCTGCAGCATCCCACTCTTCTTTACTTGCACGTGCATCTATCTTTAGTTTAAAATTTGGACTATAGATATATCTCAGCTGATCGACTGTCTCTGGGGTAAGTGGAAAATTTACTGTGAAGTTGTGTAAATTAGTGTAAAAGTGTAAATTAGCTTTGTTGATTTAGTATTTATTCTTTTGAGCAGAAACTATAGAACATGTAATTTCTTTTGAAATCATGTTCCTTTTCCATTGAAATTCACAAGTCTTTGGCCACTGCTCAACTTTCTCCATGTAATCTCTTGCTGTGATTCTTCCAGGTCTAAGGATTCCAGTTTTAGACACGGGTGGCAGTTCAGGAGTCCGAGGCTTCAAGCTCCGTCGTGAGCCATCCGACACAACCAGAGAACGCGCTTGCTGCTGATGCAGTCTTACACAATTAGGCCAAATCTTCTTTCTAACGTTCTCCTACCTCTCACTTTCTGATCACTAAGGAGAGTAGAATAGAGGACAGTGATGTTACAGACGAAGTTCAAAAAGCCTATCAATCTCAACCTGAATCTGACCCCTTTATGAATCCAATTCTGTTCACGATATCTCTCCACCCACCCATGTGTGTGTCTCTCTGTATGTGTCTTCTACAGTGTGAAGGCTTAGAGGGTTGCTATACTGTAAATCACTAACCCTTTTCAGCTTCACTAAAGGCTTTAGTCTTTACCACTACATGTTGCTGCCTGTCCAGACTGATACAGTTCCAGCAGTCCTTCCAAGCACTTGACTCTCTCTAGACTTAATGTCCATTTTTTATCTTAATATTTACAAGAAAAAGGAGGCGAAAGAGATTGATTTATCTCTCTCGTACCTGTTTAGCCAAAGCCCTTCACTATACGCCTTTATGTGCCTCTATGAGGCCCTTACGGTGTTATTTCTAACCCTTTATATTGTGTTCAAAAAAGTTAAATGTCAGAATTATTACAAAAGCACTAATTCCTGAAGAGTAGCAACTTAGAGAAGTATAGAGTGAAGGAAACCTTATGCATGCTCAGCACTTCTCTTTAGTGGTACTTTTGAGAGTATAGCCCAAGTTCTCCCTGACAAATATGTACCAAAATTTTCCCCAGTCAGTAGGGACATTTTTGGCCTGATGAAACTGTCACAGAAACGTGTTTCATGTTTTGCATAGTGGATACAGTGTGTGTGTATATATATATAGGGCAGAATTATAGTTACAGTTTCTTCCCCAAATTAATCAGTTTCTAGCAGTAGGCCTGTCCTGTTAATTGAAGTCATATTCTTCAAGTAAATGAACTAATCACAGGAATTAAGCAGGATTTAAGTAAAACTGTTCGACAACTATCTTTCTAGTGTTCTTGCTAAATACCTCCTATCCTGTTTTCCGCTGTCAAAAACAGCAGAAAAAGCCCTCTACATACTTAGTTCGAATTCTTTTTGAAGCCTTTGAAAACGCTATGATTTTTTTTTTTAAACAGTTCAAATGAGGAATGTGTGGGGATATACTCCATGTTCTCCCACAAAGTAACTTGTAAGCTTGGTCCTCACATTACTTGAACTTGGTGTTTTCTCGGTATTCTATGTCCATGAATTAAGGACTTTTTGGACGCTGTGGCCACAAATGTTTCGAAATCCCTGTTTTTTGTCTATGATTGTGCTCTTTGACAAACCAGATCTTTTTTTTTCCTGTTATAGTAATCAAGTTCATCAGCCTGTGATTTGTTATTCAGGCTTCTCTTTGTTTTGTCTACAGCCCATCAAAACACCCATACAAAATGCACATTGTTGGAGTATGCGTTGTGCCTGTATCCAAACAGCCCCTTCCGAAGTGCACAAACATGTTGGAAAAAATTGTGGTCCATCTCTTCAAACTGTTCAGAAAAAAAAGTACAAATATAGTTTTAGCCTGTTAGACCTCTACAGTGGAAGCTCATTATATGGGTACTGCATGGATTTAAGTCACCTCCCAACCTCTGTAATTCCTGAGACCCACTCATATGGCATAAAGGATGTTTGATGAGATGTACTGACCTTTGTGTATGTTTGTGAGCAGGCCAGACATTAGTGGCGTGTCAGTTCAAGAATGTCTGAATTTGCAATGGTACTCTCAGTAATTTGGGAAAGGAAGTTCGTTATAGACATGGCTAATTTGCGTATGACTACAGTTATCACAGTTACCTAGTGTTGCTTTGTAATTTTGGTCCCATCTAAATATGGCTTTTTTATTCTATTCTATAATTATGCTCAATCTTGAGAAACCAGACCACAATTGGGAAAACTGTTCAGAATTTGTAATTTACAGTGTTGGCCCAGTTCAGACCTCACGCCATGTTATATACGAGTTAATTGCTAGGATTTTTCCATTCTGCTTCACATTAAGTCCCCCCACCCCCCACCAAAAGCCACCCCATCCCTATTTTGCTTGGGCATTCTGCGTTTATTATTGACATATTAAGAACATGTACTATTATTGTGGTTAAGAGTTTGACGTCACTTAAATAGAAATATAGAACCCATTCCCTTAGTTTAATAGGTCATCTTCAGCTGAAAGAAATTCTACATGTCAAAATATAGATGGTTAATGTAACAAACTATGATCCACTAATTAGTCTTTCTGTAGCTGTGATAAACATTACGTGCCTTCAGTTGTGTCTTGTTTTTGTTCTCCTTCCCCCATTATTGATATGAAAGTTTAGCTTATTTGTGGCTTCTTAAAACCACATCTATGTTGTGCATATAGATAGAGCTCTTGGGTATGCATATGGAATGGGAGAATAGATATTGGGCATGGTTACAGAACAGATTTACCTGGCGTTTGGCCCACTGCAGTAATAAAAAAAAAAAAGATTAGGGACATTTAAATGACCCAATATATAGTGCATCACAGGCTGTGTCATGGAACAATTGGCAAATGTAGACATTGATTATTCTTGTTAGACGTCCAGCCTTTGAAATGATGTACTTGTGTTTTGTTACTTATAGATTTTTAGCTCCAAATTTAGCTCCATTTATTGGGCATAATGCTTTGCTCAGTAAAAAGGGAATCTTGTGGTACTTTTTGTGGTAAGTATGTGATTATTATGCATCCATTGGCTTGATTCAAATAAAGATACAGTAAGGTTTTAAAATGTATAGAATTAGAATTGTAAAGGAAGAACTTTCTGCAAAAATACGTGGGCCATTTCCATTCAGACTAGTGTCATGAGTTGTAAATGTCCGGATATAAAACCATATGTGTCTTGCACTCTATCACCTTTTTATATTCTGCATATTATTTTTTCTTATTTGTGCCATGTAAAAAAGCTGTTTTATTATGAAACGTAGGTCAAAAAAGTGTTCATTTTATTGTATATGTAGGGAGCATTGTAATGCATACAAGTTGTCAGTGTATCAGCCTTGCTATATATATTACAAAGTTGGTACTCCCCAGCCAGACCACACAACTTGACATTCAGCTTAAATTCTGGAGGTTTGAATGGCTTTGAATAGAATAGCATGCCACATTTGTGTTGTGAAGTTTGATTCTTCACTTGGTCAGCAGTGTAGGATGAATTCATTTCATGTTCTGGAAAATAGCAACAATCTTGGGCTGGTCCTAAGAATGTGGTGTGAAATTGTATTTTTTTTGTGCTTGTTACTATGGGACATGGCCTAATTATATGACCTAATTTAGTGATTTAAATGGTATTGTAGTTTACATATGTTTACCATGTATTGCAATATTTACAAAGCACACTAATTTAACCCATCCAAATAATCAATTATTGTATTGTTTAATTTTTTGTACCATTATTTTCTTTCTTTTTTTTGTTTCTTGTGCTTGCAAACAAAATGGCTTAAAATCACAAAAGGGATATGTTGAGCTGTTATTAGTAATAAAATGGCACAAAACCACTATTTTAGTGTGGTGTTTTCATCTCAGAGTAGTAGAACTGATATCGGATCAGGTTTTCTCTGTCCATGCTGTTGTTACAATGCAGAGAAGAAAGAAAATTGATCCAGAAACAGCAGGCTTGGTGATTGAGAGGGATCAAGTAACAGTGGTGTCAGTACGTGTCTGCAGAGCAGTTGCTATAGTTTCTAAACATTATATATATATTTGTTTTATCAGGTGCATCTACTATTATAGGTGCACTTTGTAGTCATACAATTACTGACTATAGTCCATCTGTTTCTGCACATTTATCACCCCCCCACACCCCTTATATTAGTGGAAATAGACCACGATATTTGGTTGGTGGACCATTCAGAACACAGCAGTGACACCAGCATGGTTGTGGCATGGTAGTGTGTTGTGCAGGTACTAGTGTATCAGGCATAGCAGCGTTGTTTACACAATAGTTTTATTGGCTACTTTGCACACACCTACTTTGTTGGTACACCTTGTTGGTGTACAGTTACAAACTATGGCTCATCTTTGCCTGTGCACAATTTGCATTAGTCAAGCTCTATAGCTTCATTAGTGCTCAGTTTCTGACCACAGGACCAATGTTGGCTGGATATTTTTGGTTGACAGACTGTTCTAAAGTTAGCAGGGACAATGAAGTGTTTGAAGCCCCAGCAACACTGCTGCACCCAATACCTCACACCAGCGCAGTACACGCTAACACTCCCATTACATATTTGTATCCTGTGATGGCCACTTTCCATTGCAATGGTGCCGTGCTGAGGGGGAAAGTTAGGACAATTCTAAGGGCCTATGACTGACAGGAGCCCTGAAAATGATCATAATGTTAGGTAATGTTTTTCAATATTAAATTATGAATCTATCATTGTTAGAATATTTTACGTACAATCTACTTATAAAACTAACGATTTCTTTTTCTTTTCTCATTTTGGACACAAGGAAATATCCACAATACAGCAGGATTACATCCAAACGCAAACTTGTCACCAAAATTCACTGTTTTAATGATAAATGTATCACCTGAGTCATGTAGGTTTAAAGAGTTTTTAAGTGGGGAGGTGGTCCTGCTATCAGGAGAGAATTCTGAAGAATCCCCATCACAGCAGAAGTTCACGGATTTTTATTCAGCCAATCTACAGAAACTTCAGTAAGTATTTTATTTTTGCTGTCAAAACTGAGATCAGATTCAGCGTTTTCATGAAGATATCTGAATCAGGTGTTTAACCTGGATTTCCACACTGCCAGATTCTACAGCAGCAGGCTGATCCGACAGCAGCATAAAGTAAAATTCTACAGATAGACTGGCTATAAATAAAACTTTTGATCATGTCTACCTGCCAAGTTTAACTAACAGTCTGAAACATGAACAGAAAGCACAGTCTTGTGAGCTGCAAAGTTAGTTTCTTTTTCACATGTATAATTTCTTTATTCATTTGTTTTTGAATGAAGGGTGCAAAATGTTAATATATGTAAGTTATCATTATTTGTAACTAAGACGATGAGCTCCCATAGTTTTCGTGTGAAATGAATACATTTTTAAACTTGTAGGACGCGTTAATTTCTGTGAACTGCTGAGAGCTGATTAGGGGGCATCTACAAATTACCATCATCAAAGTCCAAGGACAACGCACCAACATGGAATCTGAAGGACAAGTACAACCTTTTAGCAAAGAGAACATACACGATGGCCAGTTAGAGTTTTTAGATTGTAATTATTGTTAATAAGGGATCTCAAAAAATAAGGAAAAGTCTCAGGAGAGCAGTATAGTTTTTGACTATATTGCATTTGATCCAATGTACTGGATCATTGTACATCAATTACTTGTTCCCCTGTGTTTTTAGTCTCAGTGTACTGTTGGTGCTTCTCCTTCTGGGTCACGGGGGGAGGTGGAGCCTATCCCAGCAGTCATTGGGTGGAAGGCAGGATACACCCTGGACAGGTCTAAACAAATTACACTGTTATACAAATTCAATTCTTGCTAAAAAAGTCCTGTTGAAATTAATTTTCTCTTTTCTTTAATTATATATCTTTAGTTAAAGACAAGTAATCCAAAAGTAATTGAATGTAATCAGATTGCATTAGTTTAATATAGTAGTAACTAGGTTATAGTTACATTTGAACAGGTAAACAGTAACCTGTAATGGAATAAATTTTTAAAGTAACCCTCCCAACCGTAGTTGTCACTGTCCCTGCCTGATGCCAGGCCTAACAGATGCAGCTTCGGGCTCAGCAGCCCTGTCTTCCCATCCCCATACCCCTACCAATGAACCAGCCCTGTCTCCCCATCCCCTTACCTCTACCAATGAACCAGCCCTGTCTCCCCATCCCCTTACCTCTACCAATGAACCAGCCCTGTCTCCCCATCCCTTTACCTCTACCAAAGAACCAGCCCTACTCCCCATCCCCATACCCCTATCAATGAACCAGCCCTGTCTCCCCATACCCCTACCAATGAACCAGACCTACTCCCCATCCCCATACCCCTATCAATGAACTAGCCCTGTCTCCCCATACCCCTACCAATGAACCAGACCTACTCCCCATCCCCATACCCCTCCCAGTGAACCAGCACTGTCTCCCCATCCCCTTACCTCTACCAATGAACCAGCCCTGTCTCCCCATCCCCTTACCTCTACCAAAGAACCAGCCCTACTCCCCATCCCCATACCCCTATCAATGAACCAGCCCCACTCCCCATCCCCATACCCTGACCAGTGAACCAGCCCTACTTCCCATCCCCATACGCCTACCAATGAACCAGCCGTACTCCCAACTGAAGAAGGTGGTGAGCAGCATTTGTTGAATGACATGTTGGTTGGCATAATTGAATAGGGTCTGTGAAATTAACCAGCCCTGTCTCCCCATCCCCTTACCTCTACCAATGAACCAGCCCTGTCTCCCCATCCCCTTACCTCTACCAATGAACCAGCCCTGTCTCCCCATCCCTTTACCTCTACCAAAGAACCAGCCCTACTCCCCATCCCCATACCCCTATCAATGAACCAGCCCTGTCTCCCCATACCCCTACCAATGAACCAGACCTACTCCCCATCCCCATACCCCTATCAATGAACTAGCCCTGTCTCCCCATACCCCTACCAATGAACCAGACCTACTCCCCATCCCCATACCCCTCCCAGTGAACCAGCACTGTCTCCCCATCCCCTTACCTCTACCAATGAACCAGCCCTGTCTCCCCATCCCCTTACCTCTACCAAAGAACCAGCCCTACTCCCCATCCCCATCCCCCTATCAATGAACCAGCCCCACTCCCCATCCCCATACCCTGACCAGTGAACCAGCCCTACTTCCCATCCCCATACGCCTACCAATGAACCAGCCGTACTCCCAACTGAAGAAGGTGGTGAGCAGCATTTGTTGAATGACATGTTGGTTGGCATAATTGAATAGGGTCTGTGAAATTAACCAGCCCTGTCTCCCCATACCCCTACCATTGAACCAGCCCTGTGTCCCCATCCCCATACCCCTACCAATGAACCAGACCTACTTCCCATCCCCATACGCCTACCAATGAACCAGCCCTGTCTCCCCATCCCCATACCCCTACCAATGAACCAGCCATACTCCCAACTGAAGAAGGTGGTGAGCAGCATTTTGCTGAATGACATGTCGGTTGGCATAATTGAATAGGGTCTGTGAAAATGAATTCTTTTTATTTTTCTTAAGATCTTTCTCAAAATCAAATTTAAGAAAAAACTTTGCCAATTGAGTCATTAGCATGCTAACGTTAGCTAATTTGAAGTCTCAGCTATTGTTTATAATAGCAGCTGGCTATCAACTAAGTAGTTTTTAGGCTGCTGTTGTCAAACAGCAAGATGTGTTATCTAATGGTTTACTACAATTTTATGTTGATCTTAAATATTTTGGCAGAATTGTGAGAGTTGTAGTAGTGGTGGAATGGTGGGACCCATGTGAGATCTTTTTATGGGGCCCAAAATCCATGGCAGCAAGTCTGTAATTGTATACCTACAAAGTGCACCTATATTTTAGGTGTACTTGATAAAATGGCCTAACAGTGTAGCTATAATGTATGTGTATCTAATAGAGGTATTTCACCTATTTTGAGCTGTTCACAGTGGTGGTGATAGGGAATATGAAAGAGTTTGATGCCTCTAAATGCTTCCTCACAGAAAGTTTGTACATGAAATGATTATGAAAACAGTGGCCTAAACTGTATTTTTAAATTCTATTCATAGTGGAGAGGTACATGCAGGGTGTTGTAAGGCAAAACAGTTTCCAATTTTAAGATTTAGTACAAATTTACCATTATCAAAACTACAGAGAAAACCTCAGAAGACAAGTGTAGGTACACCAGTCATTTTAGGTAGTTATTAAAATGGCTTTATTTGTGTTGACATCACAATCCCTGGTTCATATCACCACTGCTGTAAAGAACTTTGATGGTAATGCAAATTTTAAAATTTCAGCCATGCTACAGTAGTCTCTAGAGTAGACATGTCAAACTGGGGACTTTTTGGGCCAAAGTGCTGTGAAAATTAACGTTTTCCCTCATCTAACACTCTGAATTTAGTTCATGAAGGCTTTGCTGAAGAGCCTGACAAACATGTTGTAGAGTAAGCTTTTACACTTTGAGAAAAGACTGACCGCAGACATGAACACAGCTATCATGAGACCTGCAATGATATCTGGGTAAAGTACAATTTCACTGTAGATTAAGAGGAAAGAGTTTAATCAGATATTGGATGAATGTGGCAAATTATCTCTTCACATCTTATTTCACTGTCTTGTCAAGCATTAAAGTAATAGTTCAGCAAAATTGACATTATCAAATTTACATGATAATTTATGACCATGACCATTTATCTCTAGTGCAGTCAATCAGCCAATACTTATTTGGTGTCAAAACTGTGCTTCTATAATGGAGAACTGGAGCTCCAAGGCTAATATTGCTAATAAACACTGGAAGTCAATAGTCTCCCAAACAGTTTTCATAAATACATGCCCAAAACTTCTCTCATCTCGTTCAAATCGCATTCAAATCTTAATTCAAGTTGCTCACAAGTTGACATATTTTTATTTTTTTTTCAATATGACTTACTATGAGCTATAAAAATGTCTGATTATGAATTTGAGAACCACCATTTTCTGCACGAGTACGAACCAATGTTTGAATGTACACTTGAACAAAATGTACACATGAACAAATGGATGCTGAACCCACCTCTTAACACACAGCTGAAGTTAGCTTTCTGTTCAAATTTTCTGTTCCTCCTTAAATGGTGCAGCAGTTACACTGTGGTGCCTCAGGCTACAGAATGTTCTTGGAGCACCATTTAAGGTGGAATGAAAAAAATTTGAATAGAAGCTGTTTCTGGTTCATTGCCAAAAGCCATCGTTTGCATGTAGGTTTATTGTTATTCGATATGCAACTTCTAAGCCTCAGGTTTTACTGTGCTAACCCTACTTACCTGCATGGAGACATTTTACATTACGCCCCTGCACTACAACCTCCCAGAGTTTGAAGGCGCAAGAGTACCGGAAGGCAAAATGTGATGTGGATAATAATTTAGTTCCAATTTTAGCTTAAATGTGTAAATAAGGTTTGTCAGTGCTGTTTTATCAAATTCTGTTGTTTTTGAATGAGTTAATGTAGCTCACCGCTATATTCTGAAGCAAATACATGACAATTTTGGCATGTATTTGTGAAAATGTTTAATGGTGACTGTTTACTTTCAGTGTTTGTTTACACTGTTTGCTTAACAGCTTCAGATCTAAATTAAAGAAGCAAAACTTCGACACTAACCATGTCTTGCCAGATCGACTGCATTTGGGCTAAGTAAAAATCATTTAAAAATCATTGGTTTTTCACAAAACTATTGCTTCAACGGGAAATACCTTTTGGTATTATGTTAACTTTTACTCTAAATCGTTATGTATAAAAGTTACCTGGTTACGTGTTTTGTGCCCCTTTTTTGTTGGAATTCAACCTGACTGTTCACTGGAGAACTGAGAAATTATGAATGAGGCGTAGTGGATACAATGTATGTTAGTTCTAAGCAGCACAAAGTTGGCACTGAGTACAAAACAATGGAACTCCACAGAGGGGAACGGTGTCAATAGTCCAAGTTGCTTTGGTGTGACAAGCGACCTCTCATTTCATGCTATAGATAGCTATTAAATGATTTTATTTATGTTTAGAACTGTTCATTTTGTGTTATGTTACCTCATATTGTGTTCAGTGGAGGCCATGAAGTGTGCATCAATTCTATTTATTATTCCTACAAGTAACAAGTATGTCAGTGTTCTTTCAATTGCTAAATACTGATTACCTGAGGAAGATACTCTTTTTCTGCGGTCTACCATGATTTTGTAACTCCCTGATTTAACCAGGGTAATGTGACTACTAACTTCTTACATTCATCTTACTGTACTTTTGTTTTAAGCTCTAAAAATCTACTGTGATCTCAGTGATCATCTGGTTGCTTTTTGGTTGACTTGCTATTTGTAGCGCAGTGACAATGAAGGGTTTAAAAACTGCAGGAACGCTGCTACACTCATACCAGCACAACATACCAACATGCCACTACCATGTCACTGCCACTGCACTATTGAGTCCACCACCCAACTAATATCTAGTCAGCAGTGGGCCTATGGTGGTCCATTTTCATTAAGCAATTGTGGTAGAGGTGGGCTGATAAATTATGCATAGCAAGAGATCCATTCAATCACTGTAAACCAGTTAGTGTTGTTTGTGTGTGTTGTGCTGGCACGAGTGGATCAGACACGAGTATATGTGTCAGTGTTTTGAACACCCCGAGTCAAATGACATGTTTTATTAATTTTTTTATGTGAAAACAACACATCCTCTACAGGAAACAAACTTAAATATGGCACTTTTTCTCCCCATTTTAGTGCACAATTTCTATTTATTTGCTGAGGTTAAAACATGGGAAAAATAACACGTGCCTTTTCTAATTCATTCAAATCATGCATACTAACTTGCCATAACATTCTGAAACCTGATACATTTACCGGCATCAGCGTCAGATTAATCCCTTGTACACTGTGGTTTAAATGTCTGAGACGAAGATAGCCCATATAACATTCTCCACTCTGGCATCGCATCAGCCGCCGCTGAGTGGCTATTGCAGGCAGCGTGACGTCACGGCGAGCCTCTCTTTCAGCCCCTTTCCTGCTGCATCACAACAGTCTTTCGTGGTTCGAATAGCACCGTATCACTTTTTTGTGTTTTGTGTTGTGGGACTTGCGAAATATCCATCACTTTATCAGCAAACTGACAAAATCAAGCGTAACACGCTGTAAACAGTGAGTGTCTGCGAGGGCCGATTTGTGTATCAAAGTAACGACATCCGAATCGCTGGGATATGGCCAGGCCAGAGCAGGTCCTGCTTCTAGAACCTCAACACGAACTGAAATTCCGAGGTAAGCCAAAACACCGGAATATAAAAGGGAGGGCTGTGCTAGCACTGGTCAGCACACAGATCTTCATGTGCTGAGAAATGAGTAAACGAAAGGGGAGGATTTTTCGCATGGGAAGGGGTCTACGAGATGGCGTTCATGATAGGCCTCAGTTTCTGTGATAGATGTGGGACACCGCGAATGTCGCCTGTTTGTTAGCTTGATTGTGAGCTTGCTAGCTAGCTAGGTTGACGTCAGATGATATTCACTTCGAAAAATGTAATAGCCATTTGGCTAAGCAGCAGTAGCTAGCTTTCGCAGCAGTTAGCTTTCGCAGCAGTTGGTTACACAGCTAGCTAACACTAGCTTGGCTAGCCTGCATATGTTTATAGCGGAGCAGCGTTAGCTAGTAGGCCCCTCCATTCAAGACGGGTAACCTCAGTCTATTTTAACAGATCTCATAGTATGCACGGGCTAAAATAAGGCAGTGCTACCACATCTACCATTAGAGAAGCTTTTATTAAGACTTTTCTTTTAACAGGTTACAGGCTTAAAACGCCAGTTAAGTTATCTGCTTACTTGCTAGTTAGCCAGGAGGTGATGAGCTAACTAACTTACAGCAAAAGGGTGATTTTCAACCATCACCTTGCCGCATCTGGACACTTCTGCATAGAGGCTCTGTATTGATCCCATGGTTACCTTATGACTTCACTGTACATTACGGAGCCTAATCCTCCTTAAATACTTTGATAATTTTTATAATCTGAAGTCGACTTGTAGAAATGTGTGGAAATGTGAAATAATGGCACTTCTGCCCAAAGTTAGTGGAGCCGTGGTCATGTTCCCTTCTTCTTGCCACGCCTTAGTCAGTGGCGAATTGACATGACTGAGATAACACAAAATGTGCACTGAGAGCAAGCAATACAACATCCCCATTCGGAAAATCTGGAAATAAAACTCGAGAATGCTTTAATAAAGGATACATTTACAGCGAAAACACCCCGTAATCTCCAAGTGTTGCTAAAGTAAGCAATTCGATTACCTTTAGATTACCATTGCATAACTTGTTTCTACATCTCACACAAAGAATGAAGAGGTAATATATTTGTTGTACGTGGGCTTGTGTGTACATGCAGAATTACATTTTGTGTCACGGTAGATGATGGCGTTAGCAGAGCATTTTGATGGTAAAACAGTAACGAAGCCATGCAGGAGTTAATGTTGAAAATATGGCATATTTTGGCAAAATTTTTCCAAATCCGTTTTTGTGCCACATTTGTACACATTATCTTATTTACTGACAACTACAGTGGTGCACACAGATCTTGCACTATAATCCAGAGAGCTAAGATTTGTTTTGACACAAACCGATACAGGATTTAAAGTTGCAGCGCCCCAGATGTAATTTTTTATGACATGCTTCATGTGGTTTAATGCCTTTTGTGGTGCTATTTGGACACATCGTTACTGTGTGTAGATGTGTTTCAGTCTAATCCAAATTGTTTGCACCACAAACAAGTTCTAGACACAGCATATGTATGTATTGTGGCCAGAATATTTTGATCTTTTCTACCGAATTCAGAAGATAATGTGAAACCTGGCAGAGTACCAGGACATTATTAATAAATAATAAAAATAATAAATGAATAAATAATAAATATTTGTTTGTTCATCTAAGCCTGCTCTGCCTGTTTATTACACATTATCTCAGTGTAGCTGCCAGCTTGACTAGTCACAGTAATATGCATGGGCTAGAAATGCAACAGTAATGCAGTCATTCTATATAGTGATGGTTGACTTGCATACAAATCCTTCTTGAACAGTATTTCAGCAGGTTGGGTGAATTCATTCACAGACAGATCTGAACCTCACATAAATTAGCAAGCCTTGATAAGCTAGCTAACATGTAACACCTTCCACATTGTTGATGCAGTGTATGTCTCAACATTTGAATAGAATGTTCCATCATCTGACATATGGAAATTGGTTTCATAAATCACATCAAATATATCTCATGCTCACATATGACATGATCTACCTGTAGAGATTGATCAGTCAGTGTTTTGTGAGGTCAGTGGTTTAAATTGGTATATTGACCAAAACACTCCAGTGAACACATGTGAAGTAGGCGCAGTTTTACAGCTTCATGGCCAAACATGATATGCAACAAAACCATAAGTAGGCAGCAGGCATACTGCAATCTCACACACTTAAAGTATTTTCAGACGAAACATTCTTGCATCAAGATAAACACAGAACAAAGTGCAATAGACTGTGCAACTCTCGCTAGGCTTCCCTTGAGCATCAGTGGCAGCCAGCAATACACTGTGGGAAAAACACGCTAACGGGAGCCCTTTACCTGAATGGCTGAGCCAGGCTTTTTTTTTACTCATCTGCCGCTATGTAGTCACTTACAGTCTGGGTTAATGTTAGTCCAGATTGTTATTAAGGGACCAAAAGGAACGGCTGAACTCTTGGTGTAATAATAGCATTTAGCCTTTGTTTATCCTTTAGCATAGCATCCAGTTAGCCGGGCCTGTGTCCACTAGCCTCGCCTGTGGTGCACTTTCGTCAGTCAGCTGTATCACTCAGCAGCGGGGTCTTGTGGACCTTTGCTTTGAAACTGCATTTAGCACTGTTTTTGCCGTGCTGGAGAAGCTGCTGCTGTGTTTACATGTATACACCATAAGTTTAACAATATATTGTTCTGGTCTGTTTTTAACTGTATTGCACAATTAAAATATTTTACACTTACTTGTTTAAGTTGTTAAGCATGTCTCTTATTATTAATTATGTAGTAGTAAATGCTGAATAAATATAATGAAAAAAAAAACAGGGTTTCTTAAGCATCCAATATATATAATCCAAGTAAATGCCATTGTCAAGTTGAGTGTGTTTTATTTGTGTCACAGAACATAGGTTTTATCAAAATAAAGTATTGTAAATGTAATTCTATAAATATCAGGACTTAAAGGTCAGTTAGGTTAGATACAGGTAGTATTGAAAGCAGTACTCTGTATCGACCTGTATTTAAGGTTCAGGTATCAGTATAGAAAGAGGAAAAGTGATATTGGTCCATATCTATTTGAAACAGTGCATATTAGAAATGGTGCTCATTCACTGTCCAAAATTGTGCATGGTGCAGAGGTGCAGGCTCGAGCAACTTTGGTGAGAGTAGTTTGGTGTGGTAGTTACACACTTCAGATGCCATCTCATTGTTGCTTTTGCGTCCTCTGAGTTTTTTTTACTAGAGTATTTCAGTGTACATGTGAGATAAGGAATCCCCTTGTCATCTCTACAGTTTGGTATTTTTTGTTGGTGTTGTGTTTTCCGTCTTCGTTAGTTTTAGTTAATGATGTTAAGAGTTAGTCATGTCAAAGTATAGACTTCTGTACTCGTAAGTTAATGGGAATTGGAAATTGTATCACTTTTTCTGTTTGTACTTTGATTTATTTCCAAGTGAACCACTGTACTAAACTGAGTATCTGAGGCAGCTGAGCATTTTTAATATCTCAATAATACATGAGATTGCTGTGTGGGGGGAGGTAAAACATTATTTATCATTGGTTAATATTTTTCTGTTTTTTCTGGTGCATGGTGATGTCAGCAAAATTTCTGTATGTTTTGATGAAATAAACAAGATTTTTGTTTTTAAATGAGGTATGAAATGATGACTTGCTTAGTATGATCAGGGACATTTAGGCCCAATCCCATTTCTTCTTTTTACCCCTACCCCTTGTTTTCGAGTGTCACCCTAACCTCTTGGAATGGCGTTACAAAGGGTAGTGGTTGAAATCTTGCACCTTAATGAACCAGCTTTATTTCTAACACACAAAGGATAAAAACTGCTATAATTTTGTACAAAATGCACTCAGAAAAAAGGATTGCATGCAATCTGTTAATTTGGCTAATATGCGTTTTATTTTATGCGTTCTCATCTGATTTATGCGCTCCTAGTCTGAAATTTAGCTGTCAGCATTCACCTCACACTTTTGTGACTGTGGTGAACACAGCAATACAAGAGAAGTGGAGCAGGCAAAAATAAGTAGGGTCAGTAGTATAACTGAAGCGATGGAACTCTTGGCCGGTGAGGAGGTGAACAGTATTGTGGGATTGCCTTCGCTGAGAAGGATACATGCGATGCTGCCTTCACATTTGGTCAAAATAAGGCACCTCTCGGGAGCGCGCAAATGCTGCCTTAAAATGCTGCCTACTTAGTCAGCTGCTTCCCGATTGGAACGCACCAATTAACTTACGAGGTTAAAAAGTAGTGATGGGCCGATCCATGTTTTTTTCAGTTCTGATATCAATATAGGATTGGATCGGTCCCATCTCTAGTAAAAAGTTTTAATTAATTATGGTTAGAGATGGACAGACTTTTGGGGCCGATACCAATCACCTTTCAGCACGATCAGCCAATAGCTGATACTGATTGAGGGCGGGGTGGATGCCACATTTAAAGGGGCAGAAGCGTTTTCCATTCTTTTTTTTTTCTTTGTGGCCATAAATCCCTTTGCAAATGTTGTATGGACAGTTGCCATGATATAACATTAGTGCGAACTGCAGCACAGCAAGTAGTGTAACTCACTAACTTTATCTTGGTTGTGAGTTAGAAAACCGTCACTACAATTGCTACTGCAAAGCTAACCACAAACCTTTGCAAACGAGACAATAAAATGCTGACCTACTGATTCTGTGAAACAACAGAAATAAGTTAATTTTACCCACCTGTCAAGCAGAAACCGAGCAAGGTCCTTATCCCTTTTTATGCCTTTTCACTCTTGAAGCTGATGTCAGTTTCTTTTTTACCAGCTTCTTATTCGAAATTTTCACATTCCAGCTTAGAGGGTGCAGCAGTAACCATTGAAAAAACAGGAGCCTATGCAACCAAGGCAGCTAATAGGACAATACAGTCCTCATGCTGCATGGTTGGATTTTTAAATGTACTGAAAAGGCTAAAAGGGGTGACATAAAATAACATTTGTAGTTCTGCTTCTAATTTATATTTTCAGTCCCTCTGAAAG